GTTTTACTTTATAAACAATTAGTTTCATTAGAAGCAAAATGACAAACAGAGTACAGTCATTTTCCTAGTTCCGGATAGCAAACATCATTCAGGCTGCTTTCGGCTCCACTAGTCCATGAATGCATGTGACATTGGTTTAAAAGTTTACCTTAAGGGATGGAGATACTACGAAATACTTTTCCAAATATAAGCTCTTTTAATTTTGACTTTGCGACGTCAAAAGTACCGATGCAACTTTTCCTAGTTCCTGATTGGTTTAATCAGTTCAGAATCTATCCAAAACTGCTTCGCGTGAAAAAAAATCACGCAAGAAAATCCATTTTTCAGACAGAATCACCCCAAATCAAGCACAGTTTTTGATAAAGTATTACTTAGTTTTTTTGAAAAACAGTTCATTCAAAAGAATTCCAGCAAATTTTAAAAAGAGAATTAACGAAAATGATTTTTAAACTTTTGGCTGCAACTCAACGGCAGGAACACGCACAGACCGAAAACCTTCGACCCATCGAAGAATCGTCACATAAAGTCGATTAACACGCGTGTAGTTGGGTCCTACGTGCACGTGCGATCTGGAGCTAACCTGTCATTCGACGACACATTTTCAATGTTAGAGACTCTACAACTTATTTTGATTCAACAAATTTTCTATGTAATAGTTAAGAAGACTTTAGAGTATGAACAAAATATTTGAAATCACACAGTCCTGGTGATGTACCGAGGAGAAAAATTTTCGTCGATTCACGGCTCCCGTGATTTTCTACAAACTGTCCAAACTTGTCAAAGTGCGACTCGGACATCTGGCCAAAATTCCTTTTCTAGAGATTTTATTGAAAACATCTTTGTGTATCAAGAAGTAATCGTTTTGTTTTTTCAAAATGCACTAAGTATAAAAAATAGTAATGGAGACCAATTCAATAGAGGTAGGTTTATATTTGAAGTGATCCGGAACTATGAAAATATGGAACTAGGAAAATGACTGGACAACAAAGTTATCAAAATATGGGAGGCATGATTTTTACTTCTCATGAATGCCATTACAAATTGAAAACTACTATACTGAGTCGTGTGCGTTTTGGAGTTTCCTCATTTTTTTCTAATTTCCCAGTTGCATTCCCAGAGATACTTAATATGCCATGCAGTGAAACAAAGTTGACCATTCTTTTCACAGACTGGACACCTAGCTATTCTAGACCAATGAAATTACAGTATCCAAGCACACGACATAACGTATCTTGCCTGTTGCATTCTGGAACTGCATGTAGATATTGGGGTTTTTTTTGGAGATGCAATATTATAATGTCCATAGTGGTGGTTTATCAAGGTAGCTTGTGTTTGTAGCCTTACCACATTTTGTCACGTATAAGTGAATGTGATAAGAAAATTACGTGAACGTTTTACGCTTTTTTTACGCATACAGTGGAACGTCGCTATACCAAACACTGCTATACCGAACATTTGGCTATACCGAACATCAGCCTTGGCTCCCAATTTTTGTCTACAAAACATAGCGAACATTGTTGTTGGAAAAATCAACAGAAGAGTGACAAATGGCTTTTATCAAAAACTGTGTAATTACATGATTCAATAGTCGCACGCGTTCGAATTCGTCTTTCAGTAACTACCAGGGCGTACTTGGTGAAGTTCTGCTACGGAATCGGAAATAATAATGGACAAGTTTGGCGACTCCGCACGTGGTTTGTAAATGCAACTACACAATAACAATGAGTAAAAGAGGGCACCACTAATGTGTGAAAATCGCTATACTGAACGATCACTATTACGAACAATTTCTGTGGATCCCACTGTAATTAGTTTAATCTACATGTGAAGAGTAGTAGACATCAAGATTTATAATGCTATTATAATACAATATTCTGAATATAATTCACACACCAACAAGTCATTACCACTTCACAGTATCAATTCAAAACAATTTTAAACACTTAAAAAAAATTCTGCTGAAATTTTTTATCTACTACTGTACATGTGGACACGGTGGCTATTGACATTTTACAGTGGATTAGTCACACATTACACAATTCTGTTTTTATTCCTTCAATAAAAAGTCCATGCCTTATATTTGAAATATAGGGATGTGTTTCTTACACATTTTAATTATGCAAGCTATTCATTACAAATTGTATAACTTTTGATGTTTCTAGTTTACTTTTTAACTTTTTAATTCGGTTTCAATTTAAACAATTAGTTTCATCAGAAGCGAAATGACAAACAGAATACATTCGTTTTCCTAGTTCCGGATAGCAAACGTCATTCAGGCTGCTTTCGGCTCCACTAGTCCACGAATGCATGTGACATTGGTTTAAAAGTTTACCTTAAGGGATGGAGATACTACGAAATACTTTTCCAAATATAAGCTCTTTTAATTTTGACTTTGCGACGTCAAAAGTACCGATGCAACTTTTCCTAGTTCCGGATTGGTTTAATCAGTTCAGAATCTATCAAAAACTGCTTCGCGTGAAAAAAAAATCACGCAAGAAAATCCATTTTGCAGACAAAATCACCCCAAATCAAGCACAGTTTTTGATAAAGTATTACTTAGTTTTTTTGAAAAACAGTTCATTCAAGAGAATTCCAGCAAATTTTAAAAAGAGAATTAACAAAAATGATTTTTAAACTTTTGGCTGCAACTCAACGGCAGGAACAGGCACAGACCGAAAACCTTCGACCCATCAAAGACTATGTCACATAAAGTCGATTATAAACACGCGTGTAGTTGGGTCCTACGTGCACGTGCGATCTGGAGCTAACCTGTCATTCGACGACACATTTTCAATGTTAGAGACTCTACAACTTATTTTGATTCAACAAACTTTCTTTGTAATAGTTAATAAGACTTCAGAGTATGAACAAAATATTTGAAATCACACAGTCCTAGTGATGTACCGAGGAGAAAATTTTTCGCCGATTCACGGCTCCCCTGATTTTCTACAAACTGTCCAAACTTGTCAAAGTGCGACTCGGACATCTGGCCAAAATTCCTATTCTAGAGATTTTATTGAAAACATCTTAGTTTTCTTTTTTCAAAATGCACTTAGTACAAAAAATAGTAATGGAGACCAATTTAATAGAGATAGGTTTATATTTGAAGTGATCTAGAACTATGAAAAATATGGAACTAGGAAAATGACTGTACAATAAAGTTATCAAAATTAGGGAGGCATGATCAAAAGAAACAGAGGCTCTGAGGAGCATGCCTTCACAGAATCACAATACAGGGTGAGAAAAAAAGAGCGAAACCCAAATGTTGGGACCATTGTTTTAGTGAAGTTCTGCATGTAGCACTTTTAAAATCTAGGATATGAAAGCCCAATTCATAAGCTTTCTTGTAGTAAAAGAATCATTCAGATCACTCATGTACTTTTTAAGTTATGGAATTTTAAACACAACTACCATTATAAAGTACTGTCCATGGATCACCAAAAAAAGGTGTGTTCTTTCAGCAAAACAAAAACAATTCACACACATTCTACTATTAGGTTTCGCATTTTTTTATTCACCCTGTACATTGAAACATTTATTTTACATAGAAAACACATAAAATGTGAATGAGAGAAATTAAAGAAAGACAGAAAACCAATATACAGGGTGAGTCAATAAGAAAGTGGCCTGAATTAATGATTGTTTCCCTTAAAGCATTCAAATTTGACACACCAACAAAATGCATTATTAAACGAGCATGTTCCACTTGTTGAATAAAAAGGAATTACTGAAATTGTTCCATGGTATGAGAAGTTATGCTTATTTTACTAAAAGAATCCATTTTTACAGCTGTCCATGGAATGCCACTTGAAGTTATTGAGCTGAGTGAGAACCAGAGATTTATACGCAATAAGATTTTTACAGCACTGGTCATGTGTTTTGAATATCAGGATTTTTTTCTGAAGTAACGACAGTGATTTTGGTCTGTTTTCCTGTGCAAATTTCGTTCACTGATGAAGGCAGGAAAACGCCCTTGTTTCATTGTATTTGAATGATTGATGGGCAGCCGAATTTTGTGAGGTTTGTTTTAAAATAGACAAAACTTGTGAACATAGAATGCCAATTATGTGAAATTTTCACAGTTCCTAGTCAATAATGTGTACTTTATCCATATGTTATTTTAATCAAATGTAAAGTGCCACATATTTAAAAAAAAAAGAACATTCTCATCAGGTCACTTTCTTTTTGACTCGCCCTGCGTACATGTACATACATACATATCCGTGATGAGAGGGGTTCAGTATACCCCCAGTACATGTATGACACAGTGCAAGTACGTTTTCTGCATTGAGGTTTTTTTCTTTCAAAAATCCTTACCTGATTTTTGATGTCGGATGTTACAATTGCCTTTGTCTGGTGTTAATCTGATGACCAACTAAAAGTCATCTGGTGTCAATCCAGTGTTGATTAAGTGTTAATCTGTTATTCATTGTGAAGTTAATCTGGTGGCAAGCCAGTGTTTTTCACGTTTTAATCCGATGTTCAACCTTAAGGTTATCTGGCGTCAGTCCATTGTTGGTGAATAATTAATCCAACGTTCACCCTGAACTACATGTCAAAATATGGTGTCAATCCAGTGTTGGTCAAGTGTCAATCTGATGTTCAGTCTAGAGTTAGTCTGGTGTCAAACCAGTGTAGATCAAGTGTTGATTTGATGTTAATCTGGCGTCTATCCAGTGTTGATCAAATGTTAATCTGTTGTTCAATCTGAAGTTAATCTGGTGTCAAACCAGTGTCTATCTGATGTTAATCTGGCGTCTATCCAGTGTTGATCAAATGCTAATCTGTTCTTCAATCTGAAGTTAATCTGGTGTCAAACCAGTGCTGGTGATGAAGTATTAATTTTTCAATCTTATTAGAGTTAACTTGATGTTGACTACATGAGTACATGTAGTGTCAATCGATTGCTGTCCAATTGCTATTCTCCTGTTTATTCAATCATCAAATGTGTGTCCACCCAATGCAGTTCTAGTGTTAATTCAGTGGTACGGTATCGGTATTTAACCTAAGCAAATTTTCATGCTGCATTGTTTGAGACTATAGAGTCCTCTCCAAGAAAACCATGTAATTGCGTGGTCGTCCACCGTTTCTTCCTGAAAGTAAAAGCCATTCAGATTTGCCAAAACGCACCCATCATACCACCAGCCTCCATGGTTGTCTACAGCACATGTTCTGCTATCCAATCCATCATTATCGTGATCCCAAGTTGAGAAAGATCGGCCATTTTCATGTGCAAGTGAGTTTTCAATGTCAAAATCATTTCTGGTAGCGAAATTGCCCAAATGCATGGTGTATTCTTCTCCTTGGACTGAAAAGTCGTTATACCGGACATGGCGATGTTGGCCGTGCCAGTCGGCCAGGTCAATGTGGAGCATCCACGGTCCCTGAGATTCAGTCAGCTGCCGAATGTTGTCGTTTCCTAGCCAGTATTCCCCAGACAAGTTGCCGAATCCTTCTCGGTACTCGGTCCAGTTGCGGTAGAAGTCCACGCTGCCATCCTGACGACGCTGAATCACCATCCAATATTTGCCATAGATCAGCTCGCAGTCGACCTGAATCCCGGGACCTGTGCCCGAGGGATAGACAGTATTGACCCCTTGTCTCTTACAGCCGATGGTTGGGTTTTCTGTTGGGGTGGGAGGTGGTTCAGTAGGTTCGTTTGGTATGGGATCCACTTCTACTTCTGGAGTGGGGAAGGCCGGTGTTGTGTTGGTAATAGTGTCGGGTGCTTCCTCATTTATCATCGGAGTGGATAAGGCAGATGTCAGAGAGGGAACGGAAAATCTTTGTGTTTCTTCATCAGAGTCAAAATACACACTGCCCTGGCGCTCGGTGAAACGGCTCGTCTCCTGTGACCTGGTAGTAGTGCTCAGTTCGCACATGCGATTCGGCCAGTAGTAGTTGAGTGACATGCAGCGTACGTCAGCGTGGCAGTTGCGTGCACAGGTGACGGGGGAAACGGTAGTAGTTGTTTCGTAAACGGATCTATCGAGGGCGCAATTCTCCGCGCCATAGAATTGCAATCTGGTTTGGCCTGTGCACGGACTTCCAAAGCAGAAAGCCATGCCAGCAATCAACAAGCTTGTGAAAAACACCACAATCTGAGATTTCAGTCCAGAAGGTTGCAGTATCTGCGGCAATTCCATGGTTCAGTCACAGTGCTTGATTGATATCAAAGTCGGCAAATTTTGTAACTTACCGTTTTTTAAAGTTTTTGATTATCAGCAGAATATATGTGCTATTCTTGATGATTGCGTATGTCTAACGGCAGATTACTGCACCCATAGAAATTTCAATTCCTTTAACAGAATGAGACAGAAAAATACGTCTTCCACAACCTTCTTCTCGACCAATCTGAGCCCTACAGTCAGTTTTTACTTCACACAAATTTCAGTGTGCAAAGCGAAATTATTAGGGTAATGGCAAATGTCAGAAAGAAACATCAGTAGTTGACGTCATGAAATTTGCTGGCTTTTAGTCCTGCTTTTGATGTAGCAATTCCCTGCTTGAATGAGTAATATTAGTTTGAAAGCTATTGCCCCCCTCTAGACCTGCGTGTGTTTACACAAAGAACAAGGCCAGAAAGCATTGAGCACGTCTACATTTTCCATAGTTACCACTGATGCGTAATTAAGAAATATTACAATGGCAATATTTGTGCTTTACTCAACTAGAAGTCGTATTTATCAGCCTGTACCTCTTTTATTAACGTACATGCCTATGGCCAGCATTTAATCAAAACTGCCTTTGTGTTGACAATGCTAGCTTGCCTGAGGGAAATTCTGTTGTTCCGCCCACTCCTCCATTTTCTTTGAATTTTGAAAGACAAGAACCGGAGCAGAAAATGTCTGTTGCTTTTATTAATATTTCTTCATTTTTGTCATCAAATAATGTTGCACCACTCCTCCATTTTCTTTGTATTTTGAAAGACAAGAACCAGAGCAGAAAATGTCTGTTGCCTTTTGCCATTATTAATACTTGTTCATTTTTGTTGTCAAATAGGGGAAGATATCTTATTGCTGCAGACTGGAACTGGGTATTGATTTTTTGTGGTCTTCAGAAAAGAGATGCAATATAATTGGTCCACGGCAGCGGTGCAACGGGGAGCTTTTTCTCTGTAGCTAATTACGCCTTTTGTCTGCATTATTTTCGCAAATACCTTGACATTTACAACTGGTTATTGGCACTGTGTGCGCTAATTTGCAGACGAAACATCTTCAACTGAGCTTACACAACTTTCCCAATTGATGGCGTAGGGTATCTGGGTCCCAAAATATCCTCCATTTTCTTTGAATTTTGAAAGACAAGAACCAGAGCAGAAAATGTCTGTTGCCTTTTGCCTTTATTAATACTTGTTCATTTTTGTTGTCAAATAGGGGAAGATATCTTATTGCTGCAGACTGGAACTGGGTATTGATTTTTTGTGGTCTTCAGAGAAGAGATGCAATATAATTGGTCCACGGCAGCGGTGCAACCGGGAGCTTTTTCTCTGTAGCTTACGCCTTTTGTCTGCATTATATTCACAAATGCCTTGACATTTTCAACTAGATAATTTGTATTGGCGCTGCGTGAGCTAACTTGAAGGCGAAACATCTTCAACTGAGCGCGTACACAACTTTCCCAATTGATGGCCTAAGGAAAAATGCACTGCCACAGGGCCCATGGTCCAAAATCGTGCCTGTTAGAATACGAGATTTCGTAGAGCACATTCGGATATATTTTTTAGCAGCTCAACAAATCATCTTGTTTCTCCGTTAGTCCGTACGTTAGTTAGTTAGTTAGTAACAAATGTTTACATTGTCTATTGCTCCTATATATTCTGACCAATTTCAACCAAACTTTGTCAAAGGTTTCAGTAGCCCAGCCCCAACATGTCACTTGACCAAACTGGGGTCAAAGGTCATCATGGGGTCAAATTTCAAAGCAGCTCAAATGACAAAAGTAGTGCTGTCAACATGTTGGCATTGGTCAAACATTAAAAAAAGTCCATGGTGACCTCTTTGTCTGACCTACAGCTACGGGGTCAGAGGTCAAAATAAGGTGAACAGGAATTTGTTGGCCCGTAGCTTCCGAGATCTGATCGAGCTTGTTTTTTTAAAAGGAGGAATAATTGGTATTGAGATCCAAATATTTAAGCTTGAGGTAGAACTAAATAAAGCTCACCTTTGTAAGAACATTAAAAAAAAAAACTGAAAATGCCAGTTTGTGTGGCCAGTAATTGGTACTTCATGTGAAGTACTTTTGTGCTGCCTATGAACCTGTTTTTGCAGAATCTGCATGTCATAGAACTGCGGCAGAAAAAAAACTGGGTCTGGAGATCAGGTATTTTGTCAACCTGTGGGTAGAGAAATTAGTTCCTATGGCAGACTTACAAAATTCCTGTGCAAAGTTGTAAAACTATCCTTTATACGCTTTAAACATACAAACACTAAAGAGCCTGCTGAGACAAATGCTTACAAACATGACAAAGGACAAGCTGACACAAAGTGCAAGATGTGTTTGGAATTTAAAAAAAAATACCTTTTCATGCCTTCCAAAGGGTAAGGGGCTTGGTTTTTATCTGTTTTGTTTATAAATTCACAGTTATAAATTTACAGCACTACAAAGTGACGTATCATGGGTATTTGTTAAAAGCGGCATTCTCTGTGTACAAAATTTATGCCCCATCTGTCACTTTAATACATATAATGACGCGTTGAAACTATTGTGTTTGTCCCTTCTTGTTACACCCGAAGAATTAAGAAGTTCTTCTTTTTTGGTCACAGGAACTGGAACGGACCGAAATCCCCGGCTGTGAGTTGAACAAGGTTGGACACTACTACCACCTGATGTATGACCAGACCCACGTGGATAACACCATGCGCAACCAGGCCATACAGAGTGCCCTGGAGAACCTTGGAGAGCAGGAACCTCACCGATTGGTCAGTGGAGACACCCAAGCATCTTCCGCAGGTGAAGCGAAGACGATCAGTAGCATCTTCGCCTCGACAACGATAATCTGTACGCCGCCCTCGCCTTGTAAGGCGGTGGTTGGGACTTCGGATGGAGCTGACGATGAGTTGAAGAATGGACTTGAGGATTCTAAGACGGGTGGTGAGGAGGAGGAGAGATTGACAGATGCAATGAGGGAGGCGGACAAAACAAAGGATGGAGAAGATAACGTCTCAGGGAGCAGTGACAGCTCCATCCAGGTGTTGGCAGAGGAGCACGATTCCGACGATCAAGGACATCAAGATGATGATGCTGCTCCTGAAAACGTGGACTTACAGCAAGGTGGCAAAGATGAGGTTGACTTGGGTAGTGAGCAGAGCCCATCTGATGACCCCAGAGGGGCGGAGTTACAGGTCGCTGAGGAGGCAGATGAAGGAGAGGACAGCAGTCAACTTCGGCGCAATTCAACGAGCTTTGTTGTCCTGTCGCGTGCCAGCAGCTCCCACTCTGACACCCATCAAGTCCCAGAGACGAGCCACTCTGACTCGGACCTAGCTACGGCTGCCAGGGAATACCTGCAGGCTGTCCAAACCAAGGATAGCCGTAGCCACAGCTCGACCTCCAGCGCCAGCACCACGACCCTGACCCACAAGTCGGACTCTGGTACGATGCTCGTCGAGGACGACCCCAGCCATGGAGCCGCAGATACTCAAGACAGACCTCGTGCCAGCTCTGACTCGGCCGGAACCACAGGTGATGATGATCATCAACCTTCCGTACGTCAGCCAGACATAGCCATGCTGAATCCTCTTGAGAGGAAGTCAAGTCAGAGCTCCGAGACTGACCTTACTCCTCTGGTTGGAAGAAGGCCCTTCTCCCTGATTTCTGCAGCTTCCAGTGGTCCCCCTAGCTCTCAGATCAGCTACACAGGCAGCCTAAATGACAACGATGAAGAAGGTAAAAATAAGTAGCTCCAGCTGCCGTGACTTCCAACTATGACACTTTACGATTTTGAGGTTGGAGGTTGTGATCCTTGGATATTGGAATACTGGGATTTTGGGATCTTGGAATCTTGGGAACTAGGGATATAGGGATCTGGAATATTTGGGATCGTGAGATTTTTGGGATCTACAACATGGTCTAGGGATCTTGGGATCTGTGGAACAAGGGATCTTTGATTTTGGGATCTTGATATTGATATTGTACGGGTGTGCACATTGCGCGTATTGTTCCCAAGTACTAGCGCTACAGGGCTGGGTTCGGACATTTTGTGAAGGGGTAGTTTGGAAAAGTGCAAGTAAATTTTCAACAATTTTCGTATTCAAATAGAAGTACATTTTAATTGTATTTAGATTAAATTAATCAGTTATCGCTTAAAAACAAGCAGAATCTGTGGGAGAGGTGTTATAAAACAAATATTGATCGGTGATCCATGGAGCATTCTTTTTCCCTCGGCTTTGCTTCGGGAAAAATTGAATGCTTCATGGATTGCCTTGGGAGGTTAGTTTTAACTACAACACTCGAAGCAGTCATTTACAAGATCCTGTAAGGGACTACAATTGAACTCTGAAAAAAGGAACTCAAGAATTCAATTTTTTTTTGATTATTGATTTGAAAATACCTCCCATTGAAAACCCAACCCTGCCCAGTTTTAAACTTTTCCAAATGGTTACCTTGTCTAGGATACGAGGGAGGTTCCAGTGACTTGGAGCTGGATGACTCCCAGGAGTTGCTAGCCGAGCAGACCAGGCGACGGCAGCTCATGCCTGACTTCTGGCTCATCCTACGCATACACACCGACCGTGTGGAGATATTCTTCCATTCCAGGTATTACAAACATAACAAAATATGGCATCTGTGAACTGTTCTCTCCAGAGATGCCACTTTCAGCTTTTAACCTGAATTCAGGGGGGGGGGGGTTTCTCCAAAAAATGTGACAAATTAAAAGTGCTGGATTTAGTTTGAAACATTCAGAAAACACAGGGGTAAAGGTAGTGTCAGGTTTTTTGGTTGTGTTTTAGGAGAAAGAATGTTGCAACCTGAAGCTGCTTTTTTCTTCATATACCTCATCTCAATGAAGGTCAGTCGTAGCAGAAATGATGATAAGCCATGAATCTGGGACTGAGAAACACTTCCAATTTTATTAGGAAATACTTAGAAAATTGTCTTAACTCTCCATTGACTTCGTACACAACCGCTGAGGTTGCAACATTCTTTCTGTTTTAGGGTTTTTATTGATACATTGGTGGCATCTCTGTCTCCTAAAATAAACCAAAGTTGATCAGTGTCATTTGGTTTAAATTGCAGTCAAAACAATCTTGAAAATGAGTGGATTTCTACATTTCAAACAAGTACTAAAGAAAAGCCACAAGCAGTGTTACGGTTACATTTAGAAGTCTCCACTGAACTCTATTTATTTCTCCAATTTAGAGTTTTGTGAAATCCAATTTTGAGTTTTTGTGATGTTATGTTCATTTTGTGGAAACGTGTCTCAGAATTATAGGATAATTTACGCAAATGAATTGTTCAGTTGACTTTGTTGTCTTGCTGATACACTGAGATCCGGTTATGATAATATTGCAATCTTGGTTGGGTGACTGGTATAAATTTTAGATATTTTTGGTTTGAAATGTCAGTCCCTCTTTTACATTTTGCTTAAAGGGAATATACAGCATTTGCAAACATCAAAAAAACAAAACTGCCAAATTATTATGAAATACCTTACTGGACTGTTTGTGAATGACAGTCTAAAGCATACTGTAATATCATGGCACCTGGTGTGCTGTCATTTTCAAGAAAAGTGGTATTTTTGTATCAATATCCAAAGCTGGTCGGCCGACCAGCGTTGGAAAAAAAACTGGTTTTCTTTCAAATACTGCCCCCAATTTACCATATGTTGTTAGTCCGCATTTTGCTTATAATTGATTACACACCTTTGAACAGGTATAAGCCAGCTAGACTGATTCCCTGACCTTACAATTCCCAGACATCTATAAATTGCTCTTACTTGGGGACAGGGAACCAGACTACAGGAACATGATTGTTTTTCTTGGTTTTCCCAGCATCAAAACCTCAAACAAGTCAGTGTAACAATATTTGCTATGAATACTAACCCCCCAAATCCATTCTGAAAATTACAGCAAAAGCAAATGTTGCATATTCTCTTTAAATATTAAGAAATGGTCTGTTTTTATCAGGGATCGAGGAGAATCTAACAGTGGAGGCGGTGAGCAGCTGTACTTGCAAGTCACCGATACAATCAGGAATACATGCAGAACGGTCAACCAGGTTTGTTTTTCTACTGTCCTCCCTTGTTGCTAGGTTTTCTTCTTTTTTTATTTCGTAAACCAATCAATCTTTCTGAAATTGTTTCCAATTAACTACTCTGCCATTAATTGAGGAAAGTCAGGTTGGCACAGTGGTTTCTTTCCTCGCCTTCCACCGCTGTGGCTCGATTCCCGCCCGGACTACACGTGGATTGAGTTGTCAGTCCCTACTTGATTCTGTGGGTTTCCCCAGAGTATTCTTCTGGAGTTTTTGTCCCAACTCTGTAATTTCTTCTCATTGTCTTCTCTGTACAGATTCCTTCGGGCTTTCGAGCTACAGTGCCTAAGGCACTTTTAGGAATCCTTTGTTTCATTACCAGAAAGAAATACAGTTGTAAAACATTTAAAAAAATTCACAATCTGTTGCTTGTTCACATAGGTTATTACAATTATTTTGCTCACTTTTCCCTGTTTCAATCTTTTTTCTTAAAGCTTTATAACCTGATGAGCCTTTTTAGCCTTTCTGGGAGCACATCTAAAAATGCTCAAAAATTGCTATTTTTTTTTTTTTTTTTTACCCACAGCGGTTGCTGCTTCAAGATTTGTACAAGACCCACTCCTGTAAGTCCATCCTGTTTGGGGAGAGTGATGAAGACGCCTGGCAGAGTGAAGATCCCATCCGCTCCAGGATTGATAAACCATCGCTGGATGACGGTGGGTAGATTGGGCCCAGATCTCTCCCCCTCCCCAATAACAAAACAATCTTGTTGAACACCCCACCGGTCCCCTCCTCCCACCAGAACACAAGGCAAAAAGTTGTGGCATTAATACCTTTAAGTTTAAAATTTGTAAAAAATTTCCCTGAATGGTTTAAAACAAAACCCCAGATTTTCCATGCTTTTCTTTACAGTTTCCCTAAGTTTTCTATATAGCTCATCCTCAAAATCTAAAGACCCTTAGAATTGCATCCTCAAAATCTAAAGATCCTTAGAATTGTAATTGCTTTAGCTGTTTGCCTTCCCACCGAAAAGACTTTCTTTCAAGCATTCACATTACATTATAAAAATTACAATGACATTTAAGCTTTTCAGATGAGACAGAAGAAAAATAGCACACGGAGCACCTTGTTGTATGGTTTAACCACTTAATTTGTACTATAAAGATTATTTTTGCCAAAAACTTTGATTTTCGCAAAAGGCAAAATTGTCCAGCCAACTTCTGATATACAGCCGAACGCCACAAATACTGATTCTAACTTGTACAACAATAGGGCGTGCATAACGGCCAATTCAAGATCAACACACGGTCTGCCTCCACAGATTTGTCTGACTTTGTACGAAAGGCATGAGGGATAAGCATGTTTAGACGTCACCCGGAGGCAAGTCAAGGCAATATTGGCGTCTTAACCCATCAGCCATTCCTGTGTATAAAAACAGCCAGTATGTGTTATCACGTCCTCCGACATGAACTGGTTAAAACAGACTTTACTTTACTAATCAGCTCCCTGCCAATTTTATTTCCAAGCCAGTGAGTTGATGATGAGCTGGTGACATGAATTGGTTCCTTTATTATTGTTTTCAGACGATGATGATTTTGACCAAGCTAAGATGGACTACCTGGCAGCTGCCATGGACTTCAACCCAGGCCACTTTGCCTGCGATCAGATGTGGCACACCCATCTCAACATCCACGCCAGGCTGTACACAGGACACAGGGGAGGCTCTGCCTCACCGGGTACGTCACTGTATTTGTCACACCAGATTTGCCAAAAATGTTACCATTTCTGACCAAAACTTGAGTCTCCAATTTTTAATTTTTTTTTAACCTTTCACAAATAAAATTTGTCACTCCATTCTACAGTCAAATGTATACACGCCCCATCCTATGTGCATTGTAGGTTTGTTCTACTCATGGTCATGTAGGTTTATGGGTTTGAAAGCGGTCGGCGAAGAACAAGGAGTTTGCCAAAACACATAAGCATTACCTGGTTTGGAGCTTGTTTACTTTCCCGGACTGACAGGGGCTTAAATTTTTTTAAACTAGCCCGGCATACTAACTAGTAAAAACTGCTATGTGCTAGTGAGCGTACTTCTTATGTTGCCTTGTGGGCTAGTGATATATAGCAACAATCCTTTATGAAAATGTGATTCCTTGTATTTTAAATTCCCGATCGTAAAATGATAAACATTAGAAAGTTACTTTAGTTTTTTTCCATTTTTTCATCCTTTGCAGGCATGCAGGCACTGATCTCAGCTCTGAGTACCTTCTCTGTCTCCAACCGTCGCAATATGTTTGTGTTCAGAGAGACGTCGGGAGCCGTGTTTTATCTCAGGTAATGTTTACTGGTAGTCTTGGTAATGAGAACTGAGCAAGTTAACTGCAACATTTGAGCCTGCAAACCAGCTTGCAAATTTCTTTCTCTAGACTCTGTTGAAAAATTTCAACAAAACTTTACTAGATCTGTTTGCCGGTCTTTGTGCACGAACAGCACACATGGTGCAACAGATTACCAGGCATGAGATTTTTCAGACTTTTGTTTGAATTCAGACTTTTTAAATCCGAGGGAAAGACATCTGTATAGAAAGAAATGCATCTCCCAGACCTTCATTCAATTTTCAGACTTTTTATTAAGTTGACAATCTCACCCCTGCTGACTACCCAACGAATGGCTACAAATCCTTGTGTATGTTGCACACAAGTTGGCGATACAAAGTAAAGTAGCACCCATATTCTATAACTATAAAAGCATAGATGTGTGCATACGACCCAAACATTCAGTATCTACATTTATACAACACCTGAATAAATCCCCGTCATCTGATTGGTGGATCGTTGATCACATGTCATTGAATTATTCGTACCAGCGCACGTGGCGCGCAGCACGCAGTGCAATGGAAGTTCTATTGCACGCTGAATAGAACTTCCATTGCACGGTGTCACTGCTGCTGGTGGTGGCGTTGTTTAAATCGAGATGAATTAAATATGATTGTTCTCAACCTGTTGAACAGTTTGCATTAATATAAATATGATGAACTTGTCAAACTTTTACCTGAATATATTGGCTATTAAAAGTCAACCAATCAGATGACAAGCATTTATCAGGTGTTATATAAAACAAATAATGAATGTTTCACGTTCGTGCAATGGAAAGAATAATTTCATTTGGTGACAGATGAAGGAACATTTCATCTGTCACCTCATGAAATTATTCTTACCATTGCACTCACAAACATTCATTATTTGTATATTAGTTTCTAAAATGTCTGATTAGCTTAAGTTTCATGTGTTATATGGCAGGCTATTTGAGAGCACAATAGTCAGTCACTCGTCCAACCCTTCCAGGGTTAGCTCAATTGCCGACACGGGGCACCATAACGAGCCTGGCTCCCAACCAAGTAAGTGAAGTATATTAGAATAGAACTTTCTTAAATGTTGAAATTAGGCAATTTTTTATGAAACAAGAGACCACAAAAAACTAGAGCACGGTCAAGTTTGTGAATTTTGATTTCCCAAATTTTTTATCTATTTCATAAGATGGAATTTGCGTTGGGTGATGTAAATTCAATGTTGGGTTTTGCCCTCCTCGATGAATTTGTAATAAAAAAAAATTGTTTACTCAGTGTGGTCCTGAGTGATTTTGAGAAAAAAAAGTCAGATTCGAACTCGCCAGCCGACCCCGGCAAGCTGGGTTGTTGAATGGTAGAACATCGTCACTAGTAAGCAGGAGGTTGTGGGTTTGAATCCCACCTGAGTATTTTGTGATTTTTTTTATCTCACAATCACTCAGGATAACTCTTGGTACACAGTCTTTATAAACATTAGTTAAAGAAGGGCAAAACCCAGTATTGTTTTTTCATTTCGCAAGCATTAACCTTTGTCATGTTTAAACAGGCATGCAACTTTTCCTTGGATCTGCTGATTTCCTTGTTTTTTACTTCTCATGAATACCATTACAAATTGAAAAAAACACTGTTCAAAGTCTTGGTTGGTCTGGCATATCCCGGTTTTCTCTCTTCATTCCAAGTTGCATGCCTGTTTAAAGATGCAGTATCAAGAGAGATTAACTTTTTCTAAATTTATTTTGAACAGTGAGCCGTGCCACGTCCGTGCAGTCACTCAACACGCTGGGGATGGGGTCCGTCTTTGAGGAGGAGTTCTCATCCGTAAGTAGTTTCTGGCTTAGTAGAGGGAAGAATGAGCTTAGAGAAAACAGGTTACCAACCAAAATACCACATGTATATTCCACAGGACTGGTACTCCGTAGATTATTGTCTTAGATGGTTATTTGTTAAACTAAATGCTTAGCTTAGCTGCTTCATGAAATTATGTCGTCTCCTTAGGCACTCAGATTTTCTGTTTGCTGTTACCCAACAATTAGATAAACAAATCTAAAGTTTTAAGTTGCTTTTGGAATCTTTGCATAGTGCTTGTGTTGTAATGACAGCAAAAACATATGTTTTCAATGTTGTCCGATGATATTCATACCTATCTACATACATGTTTACAAACAAAGTTGTGAATAAACAAAACAAGATAAGACACACAGTTTGCAATAGGTCTTTCTTAAGTGGGGTCATTTCCTACAGACCAGCCACGTGCATCGGCATTTTGAGCGTCAACTTGCATAACGCGCATCGGCTGCGTCGTATTTCGAACACATTTCGAGCAACAAGCACGCATGTTTGGAACATTTTCAACACTCTGCAATGCGTGCTTGATCGCGTAAAATACGCAGTTGCAGTTCTCCTACAGAGATGGCCGTCTCTGAGAGAGATCTATAGACCATTATCAGGTTGTGGCCGTTCTGATTTTTTCCCCCATTCAAATCAATGTAACCAAAGCGAGGCTGTCAGGAAAAATAGTCTGATTCCTTTTTGCACAAAAACATTATCATTTAGTACTGTTATTGGATGCAGGGAACATGACTGAAATGGTGGCAGCATGATAAAGGTCTATTGCATGCTGACAACTCATGGCTGGTTCTTTCAGTAACAGATGAGAACACAGAGCCCAGTTATTCCCTCCCAGGGTATTCTTTACAAGCCAACAATATAATATTGAAAACAAGGTTGAATGTTACTGCGGTTTTATAATACTTCAACACAGGCCCAAGGGCACGGATTTGACATGCGCAAAGTCAGCACTGTGGACTCGGGCCTGGACACCATGTCCACGCTGTCCCGAGCGGCCGGACCGGGCCGGACCGAGCACACCATCAGACTGGACGTTCACGGGGTGGACCCGCCGGGGCCCGAGATCAGAGAGGATCTGGTGGAGTTGTTGAGGAACCGATTGGCCGAGGCTACCTTAGACGTGATATCCGTCATGCTGGATAGGAACCCGATGTGCAAACTCACACCTACTGATGTTCAGGTATGGGAGAAAAATGCCTTCACCTCAGATTCAACAACCAGGAGTTTTGGAAAGAGTTCCATAACCAGACATCATTTTAGTTTTTACACCCTGTGCACAAACCCTACGAGACTGGTCTGAAAAATTCCAAGTGTTATCTCAGTAAATGCTTCTATATTTTCACTGCTAAATTTGACTTTTTAGGACATGTTATCACTTTCTGATGGCTGATAGGTCACTGCAGGGGAAAATTTGTGATGTCCATGTATGGAATTCTTCCCATAGTTTCTTGCCAGTGTTGCAGTCTAGTACTCGTTGATAGACAAAAATTTTTGTCCGAAGAAAATGTTGATGAGTACAAGTATGAGTAAACAAGTACTCAAGAATGAGTATGCGGACTGAGAATTAGTACAATAACATGGGAATAATAAACATCCATGGAATGTAACCTGCTGGTACAACCTACTGTTATGAATGTACTGTCCAAAAATTAATTAAATGGCTTTTAATTTTGTAAAAAAACTGCCAGTACGACACATTGTGCACTCATACTGAAATTTGTATCCTTGTGGAGACATTTCTTTGTTCTCGTGTTGAAAAGTTTTCGAGTTTGAAAGTGAACTTTCAAAATGCTCTTATTTTTAACCAGAATTAATTTCCTTGGCTGAAATTCGGACTTAATATCCCTTTTCTAAAACTCTTCCATTTGCGACGGATCAACCCACCTTGGAAATTCCTAGTTTTTGAGTAAAATCCATATATCTATTTTGTGAAAACCTTGTGGAGACGTAATCATCTATAGAAATTGCCCTGTGGAGACGTATACAATCTTTCGTTCCCTATTGTGTGCACGTCTCCAGAGGGCACGGTGTATCAGATTGCATGTCACACTAAAAATCCTTTGGTTGGATAAGTGTGCAACTCACTTACAAAACAAGATATATAAATGGTGTATGTTGTGATAGAAAGTTCCACCTTGGGTGTTGATCGAAGAACTCCCCACTTTCAGGTCATTGAGGGGGCCTGCCAACCAAATAAAAATTTTCAAGTTGTCCTTTCCAAATTAAGTTATCAACTTACGAAAGTGGACTTTGCAATCTTACCTCATCTTCACCGATCAGGTCAGAGTCAAAATAAGTGGCATTCATATAGAATTTCTCCAAGCATTCTCAACTTATTGAGCTACTTCTTGAAAACCAACCTCTCTCGCTTCAACATGCCCACTGAAGAAATGCCGTCTTTCTCCAACCTTCCTCTTTTCCCCCACAGTTCATCCAGCCCCTGGTCAAACCCCCTACCGAGACCCTCCACTTCACCATCCCCCAGTCGGCCCGGCCACATCTCTTCTCCCTGTCATTCTACCTGGGCCAGAACCTGCGTCAGTTCCTGCACATGCCCAAGTACAGCAGCACCAAGCCTGAGGGTCATTTCCTGGACTACGTTGCCAGCGGCGGCGTCACCGATAAAGACAAGGGGATTGAGCTGCCTGACAACGAGGCTTATCTGTATAACAGACCGGAGAGGGCCGGACGCACAGGTACAGAGGGCATTGAAGGGTCACAGGATGCAAGCTCGGTTACAAACTTTATGGTTAACCTTGAAAATATGGTTAATAACTATGGTTACAAGTTCGATGGAGGACCATTAGGCCCCCCAAAAAAGTCTCCGGTTTCTGGTATGGAGCTTGCCCCAAAAGTAATGCGGCGAAGCGGCTTTTTCTTTTCGGAATATTTTTTCTTCAAATGTCGGCTGATGACTGCAAATGGTGCCTGACTAAATTTAGTGCAAAATATATGGGAGTCCAGAGAGTCCACATAAAGCTTATACTCGATCGTAACCCCATCTAAAAACATGTTAAAATTGTGCAGCAGCAGGATTTCAGTCAAACCAGTGAGTTTGGCATTTTTGAGACATCATCTTACATTGAAAAAAAAAACTCTATCGTTTTGCCAACGTTCAAGGCTACGGCGACGCCCGCAGACCAGAAACCGGAGACTGTTTTTTTTGGGCCTTAGTAAACTAGTGGTTGATTTGTAACGTAACTTAATATGCCTGTGCACTTATAGCAATGTGCCAGCATTCTATGGTCAAAACATCACATAAAATTTCTTTCTGATGATGTTTATACCCTAGTTGGACTGAAACTGTTTGCATAACATTTTTGTTTTATAAGGCCTTCACATCACACAAATTCCATCTTAACCTTATTTACAGTAAATTTCTGTATCATGCAATATGAGAATCAAAGATAAAATACATAAAGAAATAACAATATGTTTGTAAAGGATCAGAATTCTATTTTACAAACAGTTTTGAAATGTTCTTCATGTTCCAGAACCTTTGTGTTACAGTTTGGTTTCAAAATGTCATGTTTCACAAATCAACACTTGAGAAGTTCTGTAGTTCATAGACTCAGTAGCCGCAGACGGTGGTCTGTTGTGCAGAAACAAATTGTGGGGTTCATGAGTGTGCGGTGATTAAGTTACCCGATTGGTCTATACAGGGTGAGTAAAAAAAAAGCGAAACCCAATTGCCGGGACTATTGTTTTAGTGAAGTTCTGCATGTAGCACTTTCAAAATCTAGGATATGAAAGCCCAATTCATAAGCTTTCTGCTAGTACAGGAATCATTCAAATCACTCATGTAATTTTTAAGTTACAGAATTTCAAACAAAACCACCGTTTTAAAGTTTTGTCCAGATCACAAAAAGGTAATTGTTCTTTCAGCAAAACGAAAACAAATCACATAGGGATGTTTGTGAATTGTTTTGGTTCTGAAAGAACGCAAACCTTTTTTGTGATCCGTGGACAGAACTTTAAAACGGTGGTTGTGTTTAAAATTCTGTAACTTGAAAAGTACATGAGTGATTTAAATGATTCTTGTACTAAAAGAAAGCTGATGAATTGGGCTTTCATATTCTAGTGCTATATGCAGAACTTCACAAAAACAATACCCAAGACATTTGGATTTCGCTTTTTTTGACTCACCCTAGAGTTGAGGTACTGTTACCATCTACAATTGTTGTTCCAGGTATTGGCATTGCCTGTATATCCATGGGGTTAGTGGATGGTCGCGGCAATCCTGTATCCCTCCATAGCTGCCCTCGGCCGTCCCCCGTAGCACACATGGAGCTCCTGGATACATTTGATTTCATTCCCTGGACACAGACGGAGAGGTACTACACGGGCTCCGAATCATCACGGAAACCAGGTAGTCCATAATTGCGGTATTTATTGGTCTGTTTTTTCCCCCTGACTGGTAGCATTGTAATGATTTCTGCAAAGCTTTACAGTGATTACCCACACAGAAGCTGCTCTCATATTTATGGGTTTTGATTTGCTAAACTGAGGAGACAAAAACGAATCACAGTAAATTCTCTTGCTCAACGACATGATCTGCCTTTGCTAGATTCGAAATCATAGCTCACTGCCAGGTGTAAGCTGTAATCTCCCATACAGTAGCTAGTGGCATCCACATGTTTTTGAATAAATTGTCTCGATCTTCCATTGAATTCGAACCTATGGCCCCCGTACTTTCTGTCACCTGAGATGGAGCGCCCATGCAGTAACTAGCCTCTCTCTCTCACAGCTTTGTTCTGCTCCTTAGAAAAGACAAGCAATCAGAATAATTGTATTGCTAAGGACATAGCGATTCAAATCCATGGCTCCCTTTGTGTGAATTTTTGGCTGCAGTCATCCAATTAGTAGCTAGTTCCACCCTCATAGGTTTTGATTAGCTCCATAGAAGAGAGAAGCAGTCATAGTAAACTGTCTTGCCTGAGGACATGTAATCCCCCTTCGATGAACCCAAGCTTTACTTAGTTTGTGCAAGTTGTTGGCTGTATTCACTACTAGAGTAGCTAAGCCCACCCACATAGGTTTTGATTAGCCACATAGAAGAGAGAAGCTTTCAGAGTAAACTATCCTTCCCAACGACATGCTCACCCTTTTGCCGGGTTTTGTCTTCTCAACTTCTTGTAGGCCCCACTGCCCTCATTCAGTTTGCTATCTGGCAGAGAGGCAACATCGACTTGCCCCAGCTCACCAACCGTCTCATGAGGGCAGTACAGCACAGCCTGTGTGACGTCGTCATGGAGTATTGCGTCCTGACTGCCCCTATGGGGATTCTGCCTCAGCATGAGCTCCTCAGCTTGACGCCGTACTCTTCCCCGACCAAAGACGGAGAAAGTAAGTTTGTTTACAATGTGTATTTTTGTTTTTCATAGGATTTGTTTCCATTTCTTTCAGAGAAATTTACATACATATTGAAGGCTTGACAAACTGTGGAATAATAATAATAATAATAATATATAGTGATTATATAGCGCTTTATACCAAAGGTCTCAAAGCACTTCACAATTATTACCCCTGTTCATCAGGCCATGAGATGAGTTTCTGCAGCAGCTCAAGATCAGCGCAATCTGGTCTTTACCTTCAACTAGTGGCCACACAAAGGAATGCCTTTGTCAAAATTCATTTGACAAGCTTTTGATGCGACTTGAGACTGCATGACCAGGGATTGACTTGTGATTGACTTGTGACCGACTTGCAGTTGAATTGTGATTGACTTGTAATTGACTTGTGGTTGACTCATGATTGACATGTGATTGACATGTGATCGACTTGTGATGGGCATGTGAATGACATGTGATGGACTTGTGATTGAGTTGAGATTAGTTGTGATTGAGTTGTGATTGAGTTGTGATTGAGTTGTGATTGAGTTGTGATTGAGTTGTGATTGAGTTGTGATTGAATTGATTAGTTGTGATTGAGTGATTGACTTGTGATTGAGTTGTAATTGACTTGTGATTGCCTTGTGATTAGTTGTGATTGAGTTGTGATTGACTTGTGATTGAGTTGAGATTAGTTATGATTGAGTTGTGATTGACTTGGGATTGAGTGTGATGGACTTGTGATTAGTTGTGATGGAGTTGTGATTGACATGTGACTGACTTTAGATTAACTTGTGATTGACTTGCGATTGACTCGTGATTGAATTGTGAATGACTTGTAATTGATTTGAGATGGACATGTGATGGATTTGTGATTGAACTGTGATTGATTCAAGACTGAGTTGCGAATGACTTTTGAAAACTTAAGTTTTAAACTGAAATTGATCTCATTGATCTAGGAGGAGCCGGTGGTTCACAAGCAGACATGGCCCCTTCAAAGGGAATCCGACAGTTATTCAAAGATAATGAGGACAAGACCAAGGACGTTGAGAGATCATCTCCAGTTAGCGTCAAGGTAAACTAGTCATGAATCTTTATTTCACCTCAGTAGTGGGGCATCTCAAACGCTGGCATGCATGGAATGTAGCTTCTCCAGAAAAAATGTGAAGGGACCCCATGTCCTGAAGTCACTAAGCAGATAATTTTACGTAGCACAAATGAGCTGGGAACTGGTCACAGGCAATATACATAAACATTTCATTTTGGCTGGTAGCCTGCATTTGCTATTAAAAAGTAAAACTTTCTGCGCTTAGCAGTTTTTTTGTGCTTAGAAAATCCTTTATTCCTACCTGGAGCACACACTGTGGGCTTCCTTTGCGGCCCATGTTGGAATGGTAGCCCACGTTAGGAATTTAGTGGTAGAGGCTAATGCCATGTCTGAAACGGTCAACCAGACTACAGCTGTTGTCAGCATGTTACCATTTGGCATGTTTATAATTAGTTGTAGTTGGGGAAGACCTAGACAAGGGACAAGAGATGCGAGATGCGGCCTTCGGGCGCAGCCTAACTGCAGAATGGTCTGCTCTAGTTGGAAACAGAACCTCTCAACGTATCCACGGTTTTGTTCAGAGTAAGCACTCTGAATGTAACATGAGTCTTGAGACGCTTGTTCTCCCAGCATATGTGAAAAATTCTAAAGCCTCTAAAAGTGTCTGGTTTCTTTTCTTCATTTTGGCAGTGTTGTTGACGTTATTTTTTCCCCTTTTTTTCATTGACTAAAGTTTTAAGATTTTAGAAAAACATTGTGTCAGGTGGTGTTATGCCATGTTGCGGCGGCTTATGCTGAGTATGGTTCCCCCATCAATTTGGAGCCCATTTTTTCCCCTGTCCCTGTTACATCTGACATCTGTGATTTTATAATTCTGATGCGCTCCTTAATGCAGCTGTCCTCCAAGAGTGATTATGAATAGCAAACTGCCAACCCAACAAGCAAACAAAAATATTCCTTTCAAGTCATTATTAATGATATTTGAATGGTAAATTGCAAAGTACCAAGGTAACTGGGACAGGAAAAATGTCACGCTTTGGACCCTACATTTATACAATGACCCTGCTTTCATTCAAAGCAATTGAATCAATCTTTAGTTAATTTGTCATGGAAAAAAATAGTTTGGGAATTTGCCCTTTTTCAAAAAATTATCAAGCGATCTGTAGAGCTCCCATTGTCATGTTTTGTTTTGCTTTGTTTGTTTGTTTGTGATTGACTGTCATTCCTCCACCCACAGCGCTCGTTGTCCATGGGGGAAACACCCATGTACTTCGCCAGCGACATTAGACAATTCATGAGGCGAATGCAAAAGGTTTGACGCTAGATCCTACTCCATTGCATCTGAGCTAGCATGCTAGATCTCTGCTTGCTTAACCACCATAACCCCTCAAAAGCCATCAAAGTCCAACATCTGATTTTCAAGGAATCAGTAATGTTGAGCCAAAATCGACGTTTCTCACAATGTGGCTGATATGTAAAGTTGGTTACCACTGTTGTCGTCAAATCCATCACAAGTCTCCAAAAATCCTTACAAGTCCCCACAAGTCCCCACAAGTCCCTACTTGTCCCCAGAAGTCCCCATAAGTCCTACAATTCCCCACAAGTCCCAATAAGGCCCTACAAGTCCCCACAAGTCCCCTTCTAAGAACTTGTGGGGACTTATACGAACTTGTGTGGACTTGTACAAACTTGTGTGGACTTAAAAAGAAATTGTGGGGACTTGTGGGGACTTGCGATGGGGTTGACTACTATACTGGTCACTGTACGGTGTTGGATTTTGATACATGTAGATGCATAAAGGTTTCTTGTGAAACTTGCCGAAAAGGGGGTTATGGTTACTATTCGTCAACAACTTTGAATGAGCACGTCTGAAACAGCTTTTGCTTATCTATGAAATCTCTTAGTAATAATCGCTCATTACACATGACACATAAGCGTTACATTAACAGCTGCTTTGTACATCTCAGCAGCAAGATTGTTTTCGTATTAATGTCTCATTAAAATTGCTTAAAACTTATCTGCGACAAGCTGTTCTTTAGAATTGAATGCATGCCTTGCATAGATTGATAGTTATTCTTGACAAAAACAGATTCATCAATTCGGCGATTCACAATGCAGTGCGCCACCAAGAGTTTGCCATGGAAAGTCCATTTTTCAAGTTCACGGTCGACAAAACATGGCCCATTTGAATGAGTGTCATTAGACAACTTGAGCTAACTTGTTATAGATTGGGGCATAGCGTTCTGCAGCCTTACAAAAAACACCATATTGATAAAAGAAAAAAAAGGGCAAACATATACTCGAATCATTCGCTTACGAAATTACAGACCGGAAAAACTAACAATTTCAAATGTCCCGCGCTGTGAATTTGTTGACTATCTCCCATAATGCACTGGGAAAAACAAAGTTTCCGTGGCAAACTCTTGGTGGCGCACTGCATTGTGAAACTCCCCAATTCAATTTTACTTCAAAGAGAATTGTTATTAGTAAGTTGTTATTTTAAGCTATCTGTGATTCTGGTTTTCTTCATTTTTCCTGCGATTTCTCCTACTTTATTTTTCCCTTCCTGTGCTGCATGACAGTGCCTTGCAAACATCCATTAAAATTTGATTTTAAATGCATTATTTAAGCCTTCATGAACAGAGAACGACCTGTGACAACTTCGTCTTCTTTTGCATCCGGCATTATTTCTATTCCTTTTCTTAGGTGCACTAGTTTATTGTTCAATGCAAAATTAACTTTGATTGTTTCTATAGTTTTGAATATGCAGATATGCAAATATGCAAATAGCAATATGTATAAATCATTTCCCAATTTCGCACCATGCACCTTTATTTTAATTTTTCTTACTTGCTCAATTGTCACCTAAAACTTTTTTTTTTTGCAGGCTTTCTCTGAAAAAAATCTAAACATCACAAAAATATGACTTGCGACTGTATTCAAACTACATTTTTCTATAAATTTATTTTGACTTTTTGTTTTTTGTTTGCATTAAACAAATGTCTTACTTTAATGCCAAATTTATTTCTTCTTCTTCTTCTTCTTTTGTTTTTTGTTGTTTATGTTGCTTCTGATCAACCCATGGCCTATTGTTTTGTTCCCGCTCAATAGCAACACCCAAAGTCTGCCAATATTCCGCCGCTGCACTCAGCTTCATCTCAAAGCCAAAGTCATAGCCATGGAAAGGTAATTAAGCCGCAGCAGCTTGCACATTATGTGTTGTCCTTCTAGTTCTAAGAGATTTTCAATGTGGTACTGGATAAGGCTAGTTCAGAGCCTCGACCCACAACTGGCAATACCTGGCATAGAATTTCTTTGTATTTTTAATCATGCTTTTTTGGGCCCCATAGCTGATGTTTGAAAATGTGTTTGGATTTCAGAAATGTATAGGCAGTCCTGAAGTTAATTTGCATACCTAATAAATTGGACTTATGGGCATTGTTTCATATATGTCAAATTTTAATTCATAACTGAAATTTTTTTATCAATTCAATTTTCAACTAAGAGTTTGTAGTTAGATACATGATTTTTTTTTCAGTTATTTTTGTTTTTTCTTTTGCTTATCTTTTGACCAATAACTCGTTTCTAATTGTGAGATTCCTTCATTAATTGCTTGCTACCATAGCTGCAAAGGCATAGATTTGTGAGTGATTATTTTTGTTTTTTTGCTTTGCACAATTCATTAATTCCAAAGCCCATTTTGTTGACTCTGTTTTAGTTGTCAGACTCCTTTTCTCCACCTGCTATCAAGAAATGGCTTCAGGTACTACCCACAATGCACTGGCTTTAATACCCACAATGCAGTGGTCTTACCCACAATGCCTTGCTAACAGTGTGCTTCCTTTACTTATTCCTAACCTGCCCATCCTTGCACTGTCAATGCATGTCTCATTTCACATTTTTCCCCATTTTTTTTTCATTTTGCACATGTGACATGGGGCGTTAATATCATGAATTCATTGAACCCTAACTGTACTTCAATTAGCTATCCACACATGAAGTGTTGTTGCAGTAACGTATAACAAATTTCATTGGACTAAACTTCAAACTAACCTCTGACCTTGGCCTCAGTGTATTGTGGATAATCATTTGGACTTAAAACCAGTAACTTTCCAACAGGGATAATTTTATAAGATGTTTTGCTGAAGGGTTTTGACTCTTGAAGTGTTACCTTCCCGCACTAGAAATTTAAGCCAGCATTTAAAGAGCCCAATCCTTGGAAAGGCACCTTGTGTCCCCATTTATATTTTCAATTTTCTCTAAGTCTTTGCCATTTTCAAAGGTGTTTGGATGCCTTTTTGGTTTTTATGCAAATGAGAATTTCCATATTCATGAGCAAAAGTGTGATGTCATTTCCGTTTGAGGTACATTTTCTCCTCTTTGGCGAGTCTTTGCATCAGTAAATGGCGGCAAACTTTTCTCAAAATTTTTTTCGATAAGCAAATTTTGGAGTTCACAATTTGAACAGAAAACCCTTAATAATAATGTAACAGTGTCTTCCTGAAATGACATCACAGCAACAGCGCCCTCAGTTGTCCGGAAAAGCATAGGAAATTGTTTAGAGAAGTGTACTTTTCAATAAAATCAACCAAAAAGGGATGTGAAGTATTTTTCATACATTTAAGAGGAGTAGAAATTTGCACAACCTATGTTCCTAAGAAAAAAAATCACTTCATGGCCCTTTAAATTTTCGTGGGCCTAAGTGTGTATTTGCGTCTTCATTTCTTTCATTTGTCTCCAGTACAAATCAGCATGTTGATGAGAATGTTCCCCAGCATTGCATGACGAAAATTCAACAAACTCATTTGGAATTTTGTTTATGGGCATTTGTGGACTTTCATTTTTATCAGTGTTGTTTGAAAATTGCGCTGTAGATAGTATTAAAATTCGTTTTTGAATTTAAACCTTGTTCCCAGAGGGTTTCGCCAGGCCCCACACCAGAAAGCCCCTTTACCGGTTTCTTCTCTTTTTGGTCCTCGCACCAGGTAACCTTTGACCTTTAATGCAATGCATCATGGGTGATGACCTCGCCAAAATGCATGCTGGGAATGAAGATAATCCATATGATCATCTAGGTTCCACGTTTTTTCCTCTCTTTTTTTTGTTTTTTTGTTGTTAATGTCTTAGACTTCATGTTTAAATTCATACATGTAGGTCATAAAATTCACTTTTATTTTATACCGAGATCATTCAAATTTCTGTATATATCATATTGACATAATTTGTTTACTTGATCGACAGAGAGAAAAATATAAAAAAGACACCTACAAACTTGACCATCACATTTTAAAATGTGTTTGAAATGTATGTAGGGGCTCATGCACACCATTTGACCAAACTTCTGTGGGGAGTGTGGCCTGTTGATAAGGATTTGTGACTAATGATCAAAGGGTCGGGGGTTCGAATCCAGCAGCTAGCCATATGTTGTGTCCTTGGGCAAGCCACTTCACCCCCACTTGCCTCTCTCAACCCAGGAGTATAAATGCGTACCGGCATTAGCTGGGGAGTAACCTGCGATGGACTGGCATCCCATCCAGGGGGAATAGAAACATTCTCAGTTGCTTCATGCTACTGAAACTGGAGATAAATGCCGGCCTGATGGGCCATATTGGCTCATGACGGACTTAAATTGTCATGACTTGACTGTATAAAGAAGGGTGGTGTAAATTAGAGCCTAAAGTATCACGGACACTTTTGTATGCATCGGGAACATTTAGATATTTGCATGTGTGCTTCTGCATGTATATGTGAGTTCTATTCTTTGCATGAGCTATCAGCTTTTCATAAGGTGTGTATGAATACCAACTATATTAAACCAGAAAGATAATTTTAAAGATGTTCTGGTAGTTTTAACCAGTTCGTGCCGGATGACGTGTATACCCGCAAAGCTAGTTTTGCGGTATTCGGAACGGATCGATGACGGATAAACACGCAGGTAATGAGGCTGGAAATATTTGTCAGCGACCTGCTCGCAGCGAGCGAGGCCGAAATATGAGTGTGCTGCCCAAGGTTGATAGCTTCAACCTGCCTGGCTTGAGGTCGAGTGAAAAGTAATCCCACGCCTCGTTCTGTTCTTGTCAAAATAATCCCGGCGTGAACTGGTTAATCAGAACTAATTGACATCCATATTGCTGTCATATTGTCATGCCATTGCATATAGCCATGTACATTTATTAACACAATCCAGCAGAACTCGCACTACAGCTTCATATCATATTTCTTTCCATCAGTGCTCTAATGGTAGTCAAACACCCTTGTACAGCCATGTACAAGAATAACCATACTTTAACCTTTGACCTTCTCCCTGCATTTCATTGGCTCTTATCTCAATTTACAGGTGTGGACTGTACCATTGCTGTGACTAACTCTACTACACTGTGTTTTTACCCTTTAGAAATTATAATAGATTGCTGCCAATCGATTAAAATCCGGAATGTCATGTTTTAGTTGACTTTGGGTGCAAGACCCAGGCATTGTTAGCAAAACGGAAGACTCACATTTCTTTTTATAATGATAATGCATGTTTATGAAGAGCACTTGTTCACCAGTATTGGTGCTCAGGGCACTACATTATTATTACCATTATTCAGCCAATGAAACGTTCCACAGACTATCTCAGCTACCTGGGGAGTATACAGCTGGATGCAGCCATTTCGGCACAAAGCAGCTCAAATCAACCACAATAACCATCTCTGCCCACACAGGTACCTACTCCTGGGTGGAGAGAAGCAATGAGTGACATAGTGCCTTGCCTAAGGGCACACGCACCATGCATAGCCCCAGGTTGGACTCAAACCCACAACCTGCAGAATTACCCACAGACCACAAATTCAATGATCTAAAACCCTGAGGCCATGGCACTCAACAGCCTTGAAAAAGAGAAACCCCCCCCCCCCCCAATAAAACACACAAAAAACCCCAAAATAATCAGTTTGTGCCTCATCAAGCTATGGTTGATCCCCAGACATGTTTGATTTTCGAAATCACCTGTCTTACTTTTCAAAAAAGGAAGAAAAAGAAAGTTAGGGGAAAAGTGAAGAAAGTGGAAAAAAAATTGGACATTTTGTCGTAGTGGGCCAGTTTTGAAGAGTTGTAAAGCACTCAATACAAGAAAGATTTTGGTTATCAGAAATAGACTTTGTTTCATATACCGTACGACAAATAGTAATTATGGCTGGTTCAGCGAAGCAGATGAACTTTGAATAGCAAACTTTGCAATTTACAACACGATAGAAGTGGCTCACGACAACTAAAGAGAAAATTGCAGAAGATGATTCATTGAAAAACAATTTGTTATTAAAAGAAAGAACTATTTCAAAAGAATAACATTAGTCAAGAAACATTCAATTTTCAAGTAGTCATGGTAGTTGTACTCATTGGATATGACTCTTTTCTCAGCGATCTCAGTCAATGTCGTCTAGCATCACCAACACGGAAGGCGGGTCTCGCATGCGGAAGCAGCGCAGTCTGGAACAGAAGGAGGAGAAGAGTTGCTCCTCAGGATCTCAGCCCTCCACCCCAGTCAGAATCAAGAACAAGGAACCAAGTCCTAAGGTTTGTAGATTTTGCCATCTTTTCTCTTACATGTACTTTCTTTTCTGAGGTCTAGATCTGAGGTGAAATGGCAAGTCATCCTTACAGATAATTCTCAAGATGATTTATGAGAGGGGGTTGGGGGTTGGGGGGGGGGGGGGACGAGTCGCAGGGCAAATCCCTTTCTTCAATGACAAGTGATCTGGGTTCTTATATGTGCATCGATCTTGGCACTTGGGACCTCCAGTTTAAGGTTACATCCGAAGGGCTGGACCCTTTTAGACGATACATGGGTCATTCACAGGCATGCAACTTTTTCCTCGGATCCGCTGATTTCCTCGATTTTTACTTCTCATGAATGCTATTACAAATTGAAAAATACTGTACAAAGTCTTGTGTGCTTTGGAGTTTGGTTTGGTTCATGAATAAGGACATTTGCATTATAAGCGTAAAACCAAAAGTAAATGAGACACAAAGGTCCATTTCAAGGGATTCCATGAACAAAATGGATTGGCCCTTAAAAGTAATTGCAATCATCTACACATTATCATTACAACAGGATCTTTTCCTTCATAAGCATTATTAAAACGTTTTCATTGCTCTTCAGACCAAGGAGAGTGGTCACATGACCAAGGACATGCCCGGTTGGCAGGCCCAGGAGCTGGAGCGTCGTCAAGATGAAGCAATGAGACAGCGCCAGCGGGATGCAGAGGAGGGGAAAGTGGGAGTCCTGCATCCATTCTTCAGGAGCGTTGGGTTCACCTGGATGGACTTTGAACACAGCCTTGGTAACTTTATCATTACTGTACTCTTGTAATGAGTCCCTTGTGAATGCATTCAGATTATGTTGTGTATAGCTAGTGCCTCTACCTCACATTTCAGGTGTGCTTTATAGGTATTTGGTGTAATTTCAATTATCCAGAAAAAAAATTACAACAAAAATAACCACACAGAACAATTTTGGAAAAACAACAACAAAGAACAGATGATTTCGTCTGTTATAGTTCAAAATCCAAAATATTTCCATTGGAGCTGCATGTAAAAGCAGAAGGAATTTTTTTAAAAAATCTAAGAGATCCTTTTTATTACTTATTTTGTAGCCCTTTACTTTCGTTTTTAAGACTTTGCCGTAAAAGCCATCCTCTGTTGTGTAATATTTTTCCCTTTATCAGAATAAATTTGCATTTAAGGAAAAAAAACATTTTGTTACAGCCATTCAAAGGTAAGTGTTCTTTTCAGCAAAACGAAAACAATTCATACAGGGATGTATGTGAATTGTTTTCGTTTTGCTGAAAGAACACTTACTTCTTTTGTGATCCGTGGACAAAAGTTTAAAACGGTGTTCGTGTTTAAAATTCCGTAACTTGAAAAGTACATGAGTGATTTGAAGGATTCTTGTACTAAAAGAAAGCTTATGAATTGGGCTTTCATATCCTAGATTTTGAAAGTGCTACATGCAGAACTTCATTACAAAAACGGTCCACACATTTTGGTGTCCTTTTTTTGGACTCCCCCGGTATTCTGAAGTTGTAATGGAAGTTTCTAGCTATGACACAATCTCTCCAAGCTGCCATGTTTCACCAAAGGTTGCTCTTGTTCAACAAATATTAAGAACCTATTGTGCCTTTTTTGGTCCACTACAGATGTCCCAACCGTTCAGAAGCTAACCGAGGAACTCTCCAGTCGTTTCTCCCTGGGGCAGGTCATTAACGAGCTACTGGCCAAGCTGCCTACCATATGCGCTGATCTGACGACCAAAGTTTACAAGGACGACGGAAACGATTATCAGTTGTGGGGCAGTGCAGGTCCTAAGGTGGGTACAATAGGTTGCGATCGTGTGGCGTCAAAGTACCATGTGACCATCTGGTTTCCCCATGATTGCTCACCATTGCAGTAGGCAAGTGTTTGGTTAGCAACCACGTCGTGCATTGTGAACTGGCCGGTAGGGCTTATTTTCACGTTCACGTAAAATAACCGCAAATTCTTCATCAAATGGCATAATGGTAACTTCCTATGCCGTGTACGGTTGTCATAATCATGCCGACCAAGCAATAGGTGTTGGCTTGGGGCTTTTCTCAGATTTTGCCATCCTACACAGCTTTAAAGGCTAGCCTTCTGACAACTGCACGGTGCCATATGATTTTGCCTGCTACAATGGCAACGCTGACTTGCCGGTACCCGGATGTAGGCCGGGGGCCCATTTCACGGCGCTGCTAAGCACAAAAATTTGCTTAGCACAAAAAATGTCTGGCTTATAAAAGCATGTTACCAGCCAAAACTCCATGTGATTTGCTAAGCAAGCAACAGCTGAATACCAATCACGAGCAATATACATCGCATGGAGTTTTGGCTGGTAACCTGCTTTTGTATAATCCAGACTTTTTTTGTGCTTAGCAAATATTTGTGCTTAGCAGTGCCATGAAATTGGCCCCGGTCACTTGGGTCAGTGAAAGCCCGTATATGTAAATGTTTAAATATGTTGATGGCTGGAAGATATCTGCATCATTATTAGTTAAATGTAGCTTAAATTAGAGCCATGCTATTTTGAATGTCACTCAGAATTGTTTTTTTTTAAATTGCTATTTTTTCCTTTTTTTAAAATCATGACCCCTCTATCTAGGCCCGCTTGTTCCATTGGTCTAAAAGTCATCACTTAGGGCAGTCGTGAATGATAAAACAAAAAGAAAATGTGGTTATTGGTTTTGGTTTTAATGCTGCGTGTCATAACAGTAATCGGTCGTTTGAAACCCAAGTTCAATTTACATTGTCACAAAAGTTAGTCTGAAGAAACCAATAATTGTTGTTTTCATTTTTGCAAGTACTTGACAAAAATCCTGAGGAAATGATATGTTCATATATATTTTAAGGGAGCATTACAAACATATGTGTACTGTGACATTGTTATATCAGTCTGCACTACAATTTGACCAATGTTTCATAAAAACATCACTCAGCAACCAATAACCTCCTTCCGATTTTTTTTCATCCAGGCGATCTTTTTTCAAAACTCAATTTTGTTCAAGGTGTTTTTCTTTGTCGTTGTTTATTCTGCAGGAAAGCAAGTCCCAAGAAAAACTCACGCACGATCAAGCGTCATCCGCCAAACCCAGCTACAAAAAACTGTTGCCAGGGACATCGGAGAACTACTTCCTGATTGGTCGCAACATCCACCAATGGCGTTACAGCTTAGACAGCCCTTCGCCGGAAGATCTGGTAGAGGTGCCGTCATTGGTCAACCCATCCTGTAAATATTCAGTATATTCAAATTAACCTATGAATTGTGATCCAGTTAAACGTCTTCCACCAGTTGTATGCGGTACATTTGCCCTAACATTTTCGAAACTCAATTTTTTCTTGTAATCTTCTTCTTAAAAATATCTCATTGTGAAAAAAAAAATGTAAAAGCGATTTTTCAGTTTCTTCCTATTTGTTTCTTGAACAAAGAAATTGACTAATTTGGGAACTGCCAACATAGGGCTGGATAGCTTAGTTGGTGAGAGCACTGGAACGGCAGATTCAACCCCTGCTCCAGTCAATTTCTTTGTTCAACTTTTAAATTATTTTTGTCTTGTTAGCACGTAAGAGCTATCAGCGGTTAAAGCCCCTGGACCTGAACAGCTACGGCTCTTCTGAGAAGCTGAGCGAGCGGGATTCGAACCCCCTGACCAGCCTGATGGGGCGATCACAGGGCCTGCACCTGACGCCGAGGCAGCGATTGCTGCTCATGCAAGTCAATGACAAAAAGGTGAGTCTACAGTCTTGTGCGGTGCTGGTTTTAATAGATGATCTGGATTTGAACCCCAGACGACTAGACTGTGTAGGGTCTTGCATGACTGTAGTTTGACTGGATGTGGGATCGAATCCTGGACCACCAGACTGCTTGTGCAAGTTATTGACAAGAAGGTGAGTATAGGGTCTTGCAAGGTACTGGTTTTAATGGATGATCTGGATTTGAACCCCAGACAACTAGACTCTCAAGGGTCTTGCATGGCTGTAGTTTGACTGGATGTGGGATCGAATCCTGGACCACCAGACTGCTTGTGCAAGTTATTGACAAGAAGGTGAGTATAGGGTCTTGCACGGTGCTGGTTTTTAATGGATGATCTGGATTTGAACCCCAGACGACTAGACTGTGTAGGGTCTTGCATGGTTTTAGTTTTACCGGATGTGGCTTAGAACCCTGGACCACCAGACTGCTTATGCAAGTTATTGACCGTAAGGTGTTTCTAGGGTCTTGTATGATCCTGCTTTGTCTAGGATTCCCACAGTCATGGAAGAATCCTGGAATCATGGAAAGCCATGGCATTTTGTAAAGAGTCATGGGAAGTTGATATTCCAGGAGAAGTCATGGAAAAGTCATGGAATACTCATATGTAAATAACATAATATTTTGTTGTGACAGTCATTCCATAAATTTTGGGTCCAATACTTTTTTTGTGTCCCCTGTTATATCTGATATATGATTTTGTAAATTCAGGACACATTCTTTAATGCCTTCTATCTCCAAGAATGATTATGTAAATACCTACCAAACAAATAAACAAGTACCAAGTGGTACAACCCACGGTGGCCCGAAGATGGCTATACGGTACCGTCCGTGCACCCAGGCCGTACCGGAACCTCAAGAATACAGAAAATGAAAAGGCATGGGGCATGATCTAATATGCAAAAAGTATGCAAATTAAGGCATGCGCAACAGTGTTTGCAAAGCTGTAATACTTGCAAAGCTGTAATACTTGAGTTGTATGAACTTGAGTTGTACAATAATGGCCGAGTAAAGTGTCCACCCACCAACCAGCAAATATAAATAGCTCAAGCCCACGGCTTGTTTCGCACCACCGTGGGAAACATAGTTTGAAGTCAATTTTAATGATACTTGCATGGCAAATTACACAGGTCAGGTGCAACAAGGACACAAACAAATGTCAGGTGCTTTCAGAGGAAATATTAAAACTGTATCAACTCTTGATGTGATATTTTATTTTGGTGTTGTTCCAAGATTACACTGTTTGTGTACAACTGGTCCAGCGAGCTGACAGACAGCCTGAAGAACCTGCTCCATCGGTTGGTCATGTGGCACAACTCTCGCTCCCATCTGCTGGACTGCCTGGTCAGCCAGAAGATCGGGCTCTTCAATCACACCTACTTTGGCAAAAATAAGCTGGTAGGTTTCCCTGTGTGCATTGGAAGAAGTGTCAGAGTGGACATTTTGCTTTGGGTAGACATAAATTATAATTGCATTTTTTTCCTTCAGTTACATAATTTGGTAAGCACTAAATAGACGTCACCTTTGACGTAATGCCAGCACGCAACCAAAAGGCAACCCAAACATTTGAGCATTTTTTGCATGTTGTTTTGACGACATTAAACAGTTTATGCCAACTCTTTAAAACCATTCATATTTCAGAAGGTTTACATGCAGTGCAGAAGATAACCATTTGCTGAAAGTTGGCATCAGTTGTCCACAACATCCAATTTTGTAAACAAATATGACATGGTCAATTCTTAATGGTGTCTGAGATCTTGCAAAAAGAATTGTCCAGGTTTGTTCGGGTGGGACTCCAGCCCACTCTCTCCCACTAGAATTGCTTGCCGGAAATTTATTAACTCATGCAATAAGCCAATAAAACCCTGATGGTTATTACCATAGAACTGGATTGTAAGACAGAGTATGTAACAAAATAATTTAATATGCAATGTTCAACTTCAGGTATTCTAGATTTTATTCTGGATAGATTGACGCAGTCATATTGGAAACTACACACAGAAAAACTCACTTGGCCTGTGGTAGCATACGAACCATAGACGCCTGAACTGGAAGAACAGAGAAGATGCCAGTCTAAGAAACGTCATTCATTTTATCTTCCTTTGTCTCTTGAACAGAAAAACAATCCGTTCTGTCGTTCCCTGGAGGAGATTGAGTCTCTCGTCAAGTACACTGTCCCACCCCAGCGTGATTTCTCCTCTCGGATGCCCGTCACTGCCCCCAAGTCTTCCCGTCGTCTCCACCGCGGCCTGCCCCCCTTCGACGAGACACTGCGCAACACCAGGATAAGGCGCCCTCTACAGAGGAGTCCATACGGTGCGGCCAGGGATACCATTGTCAGGCAAGGGGCGCAGATGCTGGAAGTTTGCGTCGTCACCAAAAAGGGTGAGTTTTTGTACTAGCCCCATCAAGTAGTGTTTTTGGCTAGACCCAAAGACTGACTGATTGACTGACTGAGCCACACACTGAGCCACTGACTGAATCACTGAGTACAATGACTTGGTAAGCATAGTATTTTTCTTCTAGCTTGGATTAAGGAGGCAAATAGAGGGTTACTGGAGCAGGCTTTGAACCTGTGACTTAACCCTAAAAGGGCTGGGGACGCCCCCCCCCCTCAACTTTTTTCGCGAACCGAGCTGTTATGACTTTTTAGGCTCGAGCTTTGCGCATCTTTTCGATCTGAAAAACATAAAAATCAGAGCACGGGTTGCTGCACAGCAAACAATTTTCTGGCACTACACGCCATGAAAACTTTCCCATATACGTCGTGTACACAGAGCACAATTACCATTCGTACATAGGAATAATTAATTAGCCATAATTCCAAAACCCCTTGACCTATAGTCATGAAATTTCTTGGGTATGTTCATGATGAGCTGCTCTATGCATGTATGCATGTATCCGCCTCCACCCCCCCCCCCCCCCAGCTGAGAGATGGTCAAAATAAGCCGGCCCTTTTAGGGTTAAGGCATATGAACCAGTGCTGTATTAACTCGATCGCAAGCTGCAGAGTCTTTTATAGCATTCAAGGAATTTCTAAATGCAGCTGTCTGTTGTGTTGTGAGCTTGAAAGTTAGTTTGAAAATTTGTTGGTTAGGTAGAGGGACGTGATGGGATGTATACAGCACTGCATGGTGTGCCATTACATCTATGCACAAGTCTGACATATATCTCTCTCAATGTAAAATCACAAGTCACTCTTATGGCCAAAGAAAACAGACCAAGACATTCTTTCATATGTTGGTTGGCATATATCCATTTCTTTTAAAACTGAAAAAAAAGAGTTTCACAACCCTTAAATCTTGATTACTGAAATTGAATGCCAAAGCAAGAAACATCAAACTTGAGCTAAGATCGTGTTCTTCAAAAGGAAGGCAGATTTTAACATTTAATTTACGTGGTGCCCTTACAGAAACTGAGATGCTGAAGAAACTGGAGAATCTCTATGTAACCTGGCAGAAGAGGGGCACCCAGACGACTCAGCCCGTCTCTGTAAGTCAGATATTCTGAACAATTGTAAATATTTCAGTTAGACAAAATCTGTCAAACCTATTCCCATCATGTTTTTGTAAGTAATCAATATTGATAAAACGGTGTGGACATTTCAAAAATCAAAGTCAACTTAGTCCTTTCCATCGTTTTCTGCGGAGTGAAGTGTGCCTGCTCAAAGCAATATAGTCCTCATTTTGACGGAGCAGGTCAAATTCAGCACACATCTTCCCATTCAGATTTCTACCCATTTAGTTTTGTTGTCCTGTTGAGAAAACCTTTGACCTTGTAAAGCAGTCCTCCCGCATGGTCCACTACTCTTCCACACCTCTGCCCTTCAGTCCTCATTTTGATAGAGCAGATCAAATGCAGTCGGTCAAATTTAGGCCTTATTCCTCAATTTGATAGAGCATGTCCATTTCATCACAGTTTATTCCAATCTTTATGTTTTGTTGCGCTGCAGAGAGACACCCTAGACCTCCTCAAGGTGTCTTCCCGTATGGTCCACTACTGTGCCACCCCTCTGCTCTTCAGTGCCATCTGGCGCCAACTGGTCATGAGTGACGGGCTGGACGATGCCACGCCCTCCCCTCCGATGGGCGGGACCGCGGCGGAGGAGGCGTGGCATATGGATCTCCGGTCCTCATTCCTGCAGCAGTACGTCCAGTGTCTGCAGAAGCTGGGACTAACACCGATTGAGACCAAAGTGTCATCACCTAGGCAGATGTATGTGCAAATGTTATTCGTTAATAAGTTGGTATACGGCTGGGATAGCCAACTTTACACAACGCCTGAATAAATCCCCGTCATCTGTTGGTTGGTCGTTGATCTCTTGTCATTGAGTTATTTGTCCCAATGCACGGCATGGCCGCACAGCAAAAATAGAAGTTCCATTCCACGGAAATAGAAGTTCCATTGAACGGTCACAGTTTTGGCGGCTCTGACCGATCAGATGACAAGGATTTATTCAGGTGTTGTATAAAACAAAAAATGAATGTTTCACATTTGTGCAGTGAAAAGAACATTTTGAGAGGTGGGAGGAAAACCCCGGAAGGACATTCCATGGGAAAAAAACACGGAATCAGGCAGGGACTGAAAAACCAATCCACACGTTGGCCCAGGCGGGATTCGAACCCGGGTCACAGTGGTGGAAGGCGAGGAAAATACCGCTACACCAACCCGACTCCCTCAGTAACTCCCTCTAATTGCTAGCTGTTTCTGTATCTGTGAAGGCCAGTTTTTACTGTGCTTTTTTGTTTGTTTTGATGTTTTCATCCATTGTTAGGATAAAGACAATGCGACATAAAGACAGCATCCGTGGCCAGAGTCCTGTTCACAGGAAATCCTCCACAACCTCAGCTTCACAGCATCTGCAGGTCACCTCGGCTGGTGGCATTATTCTCATTGAACTGTCTTTCCAGGTAGGTGTTTTATTTTATTATATTTTATTTCTTTCCGGAAATGGAACCAAGGATTCCTCAAATGTGGCGAAAGCAGAAGCTCGAAAAGCAGTAGCTCGAAAGCCTGAAGAAACCTGTAGAGAGTAGACAATGAGAAGCAATTACAGTTTTAGAGGTGGGAGGAAAAGCCCAGCCTGGAATATTCTCGGGAAACCCACGGAATCAGGTAGGGACTGAAAACCCAATCCACATATTGGCCCAGGCGGGATTTGAACCTGGGTCACAGCGGTGGAAGGCGAGGAAAGTACCGCTACGCCAACCTGACTCCCTAACATATGTTAAGTGTAAGCACATTTTGTAGAGTAAGTGGGAGCAAAATGTAAACTTTTCCACCTAGAATGCATGTATTTAGCCCTTTGCAAACAGACACCATCTTGAGGTGATTTTTCTGTTTCTCAATACTGTAACAATCACTGCACATTAGATGTCTTCTCATGTTTATCCCTGTGGAGCATCAGCACACATCTCAGAGATTGCTGCATTGCAAAGGATCATTTGAGGAAAACAACTTTGTTTTTAAATTTACTGTATTAAAACCATTGTATGTTGATGTCTGTTCACAATAAAGGCAGAATGACAAAGTGCCTCCTCTTAAGATCATTTTGGTGATCATTACTGAAAATTAAAAAAAAAAAACACAGAAATATTGAGGTTGCCGCTTATAGCTTTCAATCGCGCCACGAAATGTATGTCTCCAATTTTTATGAGTTGATGGATTTATTTCAAGAACTGTACATTGAGATAATCCTATCTGTGTTTTTTTGTTTTGGTTAGCATGCCTACTTCTGTGTGAAGATCTTTGCCTTTGAGAGTTCCCGAGTTCCAGCTGGGGAGGACATTAACCAGCAGGTGAGTCTTGTCCATAGGTCCAATATGCAGATATTGACTGGCTGTGAGGGCACTAGTATATCTGTCAGTAAAGCTGTAGTATGTGACATACATGTATATCAACCAGCAGTCGTATTTTCCTCAAGATTTCTGTACAAAGAAAACTGAACTAAATTATATTTAGTTCTTCTTAGTTCAGCTTATTAAGAAAAAACCTTTTGGTGTACACAAAAAATTTAACGCAATATTTATCTAGCCTTTATCCATCCGAAACAATGGGTGACCAATTTAAATGTATAGAAATGTTCATTTTTTTATTGGTTCGGCGCTTTTAGTATGTCAACAGTTTGTTGCTGATAACCTAATGGAGCATTTGGCCTAAGGAGTCCATGCACAAGTACTGCCTAAATTAAGACCCAAAAAAGAGATATCATAGACATTTAAATGTAAAAGTTCGGGTTTGTGCATTTCAGATGAAAACTAGTCACAAGTACTTTGCATCGCATTTGCATTGTGGTGTGCTACACAAGTGTGTCAAAAACCTGAGAGTTCTTGTGAGTGCTCACACTGCACCATTCACTGTTCCTGCTTGTAGTCCACAGGCTATGATTGTGAGTTAAAGAAATATCAATTGATTAATGACATTGATCTTAAATTATTAATCTCTTACCCCCCAGCTGGCCATGTTGTTCACGGATGACTGCGACCAGTACAAAGACTTGATCCATCTGCACTCCTTCGCCCATGATTTCCATCTGCGCACCATCCAGTCTTACTTCCATCGGCCGCAGATGGGCTTCAAGTCTCGCTATCACGTCACCAGCTTCCTGACAGACTTTGTCAAGTATTACACTCCCAGGCCCAAGTTCTGCCGCAACCACATACATGAAGGTAAAGAAAAGAAAAAAATCCTCCCAATTTTTGTGTCATGATTCACTGCTAAAATTGATAACTGCACCTGTTTATTTGTGGTCTTCCACTTTGAGTGACCGTTCCTATTCTGTTCGTTGATCTGGCCACCTTTCAATAAAGGCAACCTGCCCAATGTGCTCATCTTTTAAGGAACAGATAAAAAAAGTCATCTTTAAGCTAAAAAAAAAAAAAAAAAGGAGAGGAACATGTAGGGACAGATGTTATTGAAATTATGCGTAAATGTAGTGACATTTATGCATAGTGTGTGTGTAGATTTTAAGCCCAAACTTCAAAGCATCTAGTATAAATAAGGGAATAAATATGTGCTCGGTCGGTTTTAACAAGTTAGTTTAAAACTGGTTTGGGGCCTGGACGCCGATACTAGCCTGACCCAAACCCATTCATAAATACCTGTTGGTCAAAAAGTCAAAACAAGTCAAACAGTACAAATTTCCAACGATTTTGTTCAACAATTTTACTTCATGTTTTGAAACAGCCCTCTAGCTATGTTTGTGGTATGTGCAGCACTAAAAATCTCCTTATGCGGAGATTGGCGCGTACTGCGAGATGTGGTGCGGTGCTGGAAAAAGTGTTTAAAACCAGTTGGTGTTTTATCAACCGTTGAAACCACCCATGTGACAGGCTCTATAGGAATTGGTAAATTGTCGTGGGTATTTATAGACACAGTCTCACCAAGTCAAAACAATTCCATCATACATAAAGGATAAAAAAAAAAGATGGATGCATTGTTTACAATTTTGGTTTTCTCACCAGAGCGGCAAGGTTTCCTGAGCCACAACACCCCAGCGCCGCCGCTGTACCAATACCTAATGGAGCACCATCCCCCTAACATGAAGCGTCTGACCATGGCCAAGGCGCCGACCGTCAGCCCGCCGGCCAGCCCGCAGGAAGGCAATGCCCCTGAGAGTGAGGAAGAGGAATATGCCATCGTCAGTCATCAGCAGGAATTTAGAATCTTCAAAGATAACAAAGGTAACATTGTTGTCGTGGGTTTTGTCCTTTTGAAGTTTCCTTTCTTGAAACGAAATTTACCTTCATCCAATCGCATCAGGGGTGTAAACTGTGGGCAGATTGGGGAGGGGGAGGAGATGCCAGGGCCATTTTTACATTTTGCCATACCTGTTATAAAATTGATTTTAGTTGGAATTCCCCAATTCATTTTCGATGCCAGTTAACCATTACAGCATCATAGAGTCTATATAACCCTAACCCTGCCAAACGCAACACAGTGCAACAGGTGTAAAAGTCTGTGGGACCTTGTTGCATTGAGCCGTCAACACCAGTGCTTAAACGGCCACTTCTGAAACAATGGGGGCTAGTCCCATTGAACAATACCACAGTTGTATCCTGCTGCGTTCCGTGACCACAGACTCTGAGACAATTTGGCTTTGAGAATTTTGACCTGATGGATCTTGCGACACTGGGCAGGCTTGTCTTTTTTAACGAGTGTTGCATGTTGCTGCGTTCAGCAGGGTTTTTAGCCAAAATTTTCTAGGAGTTTAAAGGTTAACGTGCGTAACCTCTCAAAAATTTGCTTTGCACTACCTCATGTACAGTACCTATACAATGCATACATTTTTTAATTGAATGGATAACTTTGGAGATTTAAGATGATAGCTATATTTGCAACTCCACTTCTGTTGCTACAACTGCGGACTCGAAGTAGAATGTTTTACCTCTCCAGGCAAAAAAAAAGCTTTATGGAATGTTTCAGTGTATCTGTTTTCTTCGATTTGTTTCCAAGCTTCCCTCTGTGAAAACCAAGTAGCTGTTTGACTGTTTAAACAAGCCATTGTTTCAAGGAAGTCAGTTTGAACTGTTCCAAAAGTTTTCTTTCTTCGATCAAATTGTCAGAGAAACCACAAAGTGACGAATCTGATATCTAAGTTAACCGCAAAGTAATGCATTGTATATGGACTTCGAGCACAGGATATGTCATTTTGTGATGCGCAACTATCCATGATACCTCACTTCATGGTGCGACAAACGAAATTATCAAAATTTGACTTAGCCGACTTTCATTTCCGTTCGTCAGGGAACCGAATCCACGACGAGTTTGACCGCAGTCTGGTCATCTGCTGGAACAAAACCGAGTACCGGAGCGCGACGCGGCCCAACTCCCCCACCCCTACGACTCCTGATCCTGCTAGCCCGGCGCCTTACCATGATGCCCCTGCCCCCATCGCGGATGCCAATCCTAACCTGCTTAATCTCTGCTTCTACGTGATTGTGACCAGCAAGCGAGAGCTGTACCCAATCCAGCAGGGGTGGCGGAGGAAGTCATCCATGTATAACATAGCGGAGCTGGGGAACCCACCGAGCGAGAGTAAGTCTCCAATTTTGTTTTAATTTTGTTTGCTCGGGTGAGGATATGATGATTTCAACTCTAAAATTTTGGTAATACATGTGGACTATTATCTTGAAACTTATAGCATTAATTACCTCGTAGCCGAAGAGGGGCCTCGTAGCCGAGCAGTTAGAGCGTGGAGCTACGGAGTGGAAGGTTGGCGGTTCGAATCCCATTCCGACCAAAAACTGGAAAACTCTCTCTGACGACCCAACAGTAAAATGGGTACCTGATTCGCTCAGGGAAGGTAAGACGGCGAGAGGAGAGGAGATGGGCACCTCCACTCATATGCCGCGCCCAAGACACAGTGGACCTCTAACATCCCACTGCCCCTACGGCCAATAATGGCTATGGGAACCTTTACCTTAACCTACCTCGGTAAGAGGGAATGAAAGGAGTGCCAAATGTTTGTGGAGCACAGTGAACCGGTGGTTATAGTGATCATTTGGAATGGTATTTAGGTTCAAAGCCTGATGGTCAATCATGGTGCTTGTGTTCTTGAGCAAGACACTTTACTACAATTTACCCTCTTGCTATCTGAACAGTCTCAGACAGTCAAAAAATCCATCCTCTTCCCCTGCCATGCCTTTTACACAGGCTAGTCACCAACAGTCAGATCATATTTCAAGCAAGTACGGTGACTTGTCAAATTCAGTCAACCGACAAAAGCAGGCAAGTCGTTGGCACAGCTTGCTTATCAATCACCTACAGTCAAAGCATAGCTGTATCAAGTTACATAAACAGTCACAGCCAATCCATCCTGCTTGATGTGGGCTGGGAGCTCTTAACTGTTGAAAACAGTCACTTGATTGATCTTGACGGAATTGGCACAGAATGCGTGTTTGGCATAGGAGGGTTAACAATAATATTAAAAAGCAGTTCTTATATAGCACATTAGACAAAAAGTTAAAAAAAAACATTTGCCTCGATTGCCTCTCGCCTCCCAGGCTTATGAATGGGAACCTGTGAAAGTAGACACTGGATTGCGCTAATCTCTTTGGGGGTTCTATCTAATAATTGAATTGAAAAAGGAGGTCTCATGAATGTATTTGTTCCTGGTTCAAGTCCAACCATTGCTTCTTTTAATTATTTTACTTGTAGACACACGCATGAAACTACATGAAAATGCTCTTGAAAGAGGAAGTCCAGCAAGTGTATTTGTTCCAGGTTCAATTCCAACGATTGTTTCTCTTTATATTCTGTTTGTCTTTATATACTAGACACATAGTTACATGCTCTCTAACTTATTTGACCCTGGTTCGATTCCAACCATCGCCTCTCTTTATTTGCTTTGGCAGACACACTCAGTTTCATGCTCTTGAAGGAGGAGGTCCAACGAGCCAAGGAAAGGATCATCACCACGGTGCGCCAGGCCGCCAACAACTGCCGACGGGATACGCTGTGGAGCCAGCTACTGCAGGGGGAGACCATCGATGAGGGCGGGGCTAGCAGCTCAACCGGGGGGAGGAAGACGAAGAAGAAAGATGGGGAGGAAATGAAAGAGGTGAGTTTTAATACGTCTTAAGGAGTTTATCTCTGGTTATAGCATGAAATGCCTGGGAGTTATTAGTATTATTATTATACGTGTAATGGTACCATTAAGGAGACACGTTATCATAATTTCAATGAGAAATATCGGTAATTAGGGTCATGTCTCCCTAATGTCATGGCCCCCCTTTAGAGGCAAAATTTTACCATCGCAATTAGATTATATTTGTTGCTCATGGTCCAATTAGCAAACATACTAAAATTTGTGGAAAAAGGACAAGGGAATATTGGGTTAGGGCACATTTAAATTTGAAAAACAATTTGTGCACAAGTCTGTGGGGATGTCTCCCAAATGTCCAATCCAGGGTAAATATTATTATTATTAATCATTTCTGGTAATGAAACCAAGGATTCCTTTTCTCACTGGATACTGAATTTAATGAGTTGCAGTCTTCAGGGAATTCAATTCTGACCTCTAGGCACCTTGTGTGAACTTTTCGGCAAATCTTTTGAAAATGGATTTTTCGGTCAAAAACTGACTTTTTTGATGATGCCAGCTACGGAAAACGTTGAAGTTTCTGGTGCATTTTGTAAACAGTCATAAAATTTCCTTTTCTTACTGGATACTGAATTTAACGAGTTGCAGTCTTCAGGGAATTCAATTCTGGCCTCTAGGCACCTCGTGTGAACTTTTCGACAATTTTTTTGAAAATGGATTTTTGGGTCAAAAACTGACTTTTTCGATGATGCCGGCTATGGAAAACGTTGAAGTTTCTGGTGCATTTTGTAAACAGTCATAAAATGTCCCTTTCTCACTGGATACTGAATTTAACGAGTTGCAGTCTTCACGGAAATCAATTCTGGCCTCTAGGCACCTTGTGTGAACTTTTCGGCAATTTTTTTGAAAACTAATTTGTGGGTCAAAAACTGACTTTTTCGATGATGCCGGCTATGGAAAACGTTGAAGTTTCTGGTGCATTTTGTAAACAGTCATAAAATTTCCCTTTCTCACTGGATACTGAATTTAACGAGTTGCAGTCTTCAGGGAAATCAATTCTGGCCTCTAGGCACCTTGTGTGAACTTTTCGGCAAATTTTTTGAAAATGGATTTTTGGGTCAAAAACTGACTTTTTCGATGATGCCGGCTATGGAAAACATTGAAGTTTCTGGTGCATTTTTTAAACAGTCATAACATTTCCCTTTCTCACTGGATACTGAATTTAACGAGTTTCAGTCTTCACGGAAATCAATTCTGGCCTCTAGGCACCTTCTGTGAACTTTTGGGCAATTTTTTTGAAAATGGTTTTTTGGGTCAAAAACTGACTTTTTCGATGATGCCGGCTATGGAAAACGTTGAAGTTTCTGGTGCATTTTGTAAACAGTCATAAAATGTCCCTTTCTCACTGGATACTGAATTTAACGAGTTGCAGTCTTCACGGAAATCAATTCTGGCCTCTAGGCACCTTGTGTGAACTTTTCGGCAATTTTTTTGAAAACTAATTTGTGGGTCAAAAACTGACTTTTTCGATGATGCCGGCTATGGAAAACGTTGAAGTTTCTGGTGCATTTTGTAAACAGTCATAAAATTTCCCTTTCTCACTGGATACTGAATTTAACGAGTTGCAGTCTTCAGGGAAATCAATTCTGGCCTCTAGGCACCTTGTGTGAACTTTTCGGCAAATTTTTTGAAAATGGATTTGTTGGTCAAAAACTGACTTTTTCGATGATGCCGGCTATGGAAAACATTGAAGTTTCTGGTGCATTTTTTAAACAGTCATAACATTTCCCTTTCTCACTGGATACTGAATTTAACGAGTTTCAGTCTTCACGGAAATCAATTCTGGCCTCTAGGCACCTTCTGTGAACTTTTGGGCAATTTTTTTGAAAATGGTTTTTTGGGTCAAAAACTGACTTTTTCGATGATGCCGGCTATGGAAAACGTTGAAGTTTCTGGTGCATTTTGTAAACAGTCATAAAATGTCCCTTTCTCACTGGATACTGAATTTAACGAGTTGCAGTCTTCACGGAAATCAATTCTGGCCTCTAGGCACCTTGTGTGAACTTTTCGGCAAATTTTTTGAAAATGGATTTTTGGGTCAAAAACTGACTTTTTCGATGATGCCGGCTATGGAAAACATTGAAGTTTCTGGTGCATTTTGTAAACAGTCATAAAATTTCCTTTTCTTACTGGATACTGAATTTAACGAGTTGCAGTCTTCAGGGAATTCAATTCTGGCCTCTAGGCACCTCGTGTGAACTTTTCGACAAATTTTTTGAAAATGGATTTTTGGGTCAAAAACTGACTTTTTCGATGATGCCGGCTATGGAAAACGTTGAAGTTTCTGGTGCATTTTGTAAACAGTCATAAAATGTCCCTTTCTCACTGGATACTGAATTTAACGAGTTGCAGTCTTCACGGAAATCAATTCTGGCCTCTAGGCACCTTGTGTGAACTTTTCGGCAATTTTTTTGAAAACTAATTTGTGGGTCAAAAACTGACTTTTTCGATGATGCCGGCTATGGAAAACGTTGAAGTTTCTGGTGCATTTTGTAAACAGTCATAAAATGTCCCTTTCTCACTGGATACTGAATTTAACGAGTTGCAGTCTTCAGGGAAATCAATTCTGGCCTCTAGGCACCTTGTGTGAACTTTTCGACAATTTTTTGAAAATGGATTTTTGGGTCAAAAACTGACTTTTTTGATGATGCCGGCTATGGAAAACATTGAAGTTTCTGGTGCATTTTTTAAACAGTCATAACATTTCCCTTTCTCACTGGATACTGAATTTAACGAGTTTCAGTCTTCACGGAAATCAATTCTGGCCTCTAGGCACCTTCTGTGAACTTTTGGGCAATTTTTTTGAAAATGGTTTTTTGGGTCAAAAACTGACTTTTTCGATGATGCCGGCTATGGAAAACATTGAAGTTTCTGGTGCATTTTGTAAACTGTCATAAAATTTCCTTTTCTCACTTGATACTGAATTTAACGAGTTTCAGACTTCAGGGAGTTCAATTCTGGCCTCTAGGCACCTAGTGTGAAGTTTCTGGTGCATTTTGTAAACAGTCATAACATTTCCCTTTCTCACTGGATACTGAATTTAACGAGTTGCAGTCTTCACGGAAATCATTTCTGGCCTCTAGGCACCTTGTGTGAACTTTTGGGCAATTTTTTTGAAAATGTTTTTTTTGGTCAAAAACTGACTTTTTCGATGATGCCGGCTATGGAAAACGTTGAAGTTTCTGGTGAATTTTGTAAACAGTCATAAAATTTCCTTTTCTCACTGGATACTGAATTTAACGAGTTGCAGTCTTCAGGGAATTCAATTCTGGCCTCTAGGCACCTCGTGTGAACTTTTTGGCAAATTTTTTGAAAACGGATTTTTGGGTCAAAAACTGACTTTTTCGATGATGCCGGCTATGGAAAACGTTGAAGTTTCTGGTGCATTTTGTAAACAGTCATAACATTTCCCTTTCTCACTGGATACTGAATTTAACGAGTTGCAGTCTTCACGGAAATCAATTCTGGCCTCTAGGCACCTCGTCTGAACTTTTCGACAATTTTTTTGAAAACGGATTTTTGGGTCAAAAACTGACTTTTTCGATGATGCCGGCTATGGAAAACGTTGAAGTTTCTGGTGCATTTTGTAAACAGTCATAAAATGTCCCTTTCTCACTGGATACTGAATTTAACGAGTTGCAGTCTTCACGGAAATCAATTTTGGCCTCTAGGCACCTTGTGTGAACTTTTCGGCAATTTTTTTGAAAACTAATTTGTGGGTCAAAAACTGACTTTTTCGATGATGCCGGCTATGGAAAACGTTGAAGTTTCTGGTGCATTTTGTAAACAGTCATAAAATGTCCCTTTCTCACTGGATACTGAATTTAACGAGTTGCAGTCTTCAGGGAAATCAATTCTGGCCTCTAGGCACCTTGTGTGAACTTTTCGGCAAATTTTTTGAAAATGGATTTTTGGGTCAAAAACTGACTTTTTTGATGATGCCGGCTATGGAAAACATTGAAGTTTCTGGTGCATTTTTTAAACAGTCATAACATTTCCCTTTCTCACTGGATACTGAATTTAACGAGTTTCAGTCTTCACGGAAATCAATTCTGGCCTCTAGGCACCTTCTGTGAACTTTTGGGCAATTTTTTTGAAAATGGTTTTTTTGGGTCAAAAACTGACTTTTTCGATGATGCCGGCTATGGAAAACATTGAAGTTTCTGGTGCATTTTGTAAACTGTCATAAAATTTCCTTTTCTCACTTGATACTGAATTTAACGAGTTTCAGACTTCAGGGAGTTCAATTCTGGCCTCTAGGCACCTTGTGTGAAGTTTCTGGTGCATTTTGTAAACAGTCATAACATTTCCCTTTCTCACTGGATACTGAATTTAACGAGTTGCAGTCTTCACGGAAATCATTTCTGGCCTCTAGGCACCTTGTGTGAACTTTTGGGCAATTTTTTTGAAAATGTTTTTTTTGGTCAAAAACTGACTTTTTCGATGATGCCGGCTATGGAAAACGTTGAAGTTTCTGGTGAATTTTGTAAACAGTCATAAAATTTCCTTTTCTCACTGGATACTGAATTTAACGAGTTGCAGTCTTCAGGGAATTCAATTCTGGCCTCTAGGCACCTCGTGTGAACTTTTTGGCAAATTTTTTGAAAACGGATTTTTGGGTCAAAAACTGACTTTTTCGATGATGCCGGCTATGGAAAACGTTGAAGTTTCTGGTGCATTTTGTAAACAGTCATAACATTTCCCTTTCTCACTGGATACTGAATTTAACGAGTTGCAGTCTTCACGGAAATCAATTCTGGCCTCTAGGCACCTCGTCTGAACTTTTCGACAATTTTTTTGAAAACGGATTTTTGGGTCAAAAACTGACTTTTTTGATGATGCCGGCTATGGAAAACGTTGAAGTTTCTGGTGCATTTTGTAAACAGTCATAAAATTTCCCTTTCTCACTGGATACTGAATTTAACGAGTTGCAGTCTTCAGGGAAATCAATTCTGGCCTCTAGGCACCTTGTGTCAACT